GAGCCAGTACGTGTACACTGCACATAACGTGCATAGGCCTACTTGGACAAAAAAACCTAGGTGGGTAAAACGCGGAACTCTCATTTTAAAAGGTCTTCCCGGGTGAATTTCGGAAAGAAAAAAATCACAGGACTTGTTGAGAATATAATACATTTATCAAGATTAAAATTAAAAGATTGTGACGATTTTTAATGTTGGTTCTGCAGCGCTAAAGATGCCCCCTCCTACGGCATCGGAGCCAGTACGCGTATACTGCACATACCGTGCATAGGCCTATTTGCACAAAAAACCTAGGTGGGTAAAACGCGGAACTCTCATTTTAAAAGGTCTTCCCGGGTGAATTTCCGAAAGAAAAAAATCACAGGAGTTGTTGAGAATATAATACATTTATCCAGATTAAAATTAAAAGATTGTGACGATTTTTAATGTTGGTTCTGCAGCACTAAAGATGCCCCCTCCTACGGCATCGGAGCCAGTATCGCGTATACTGCATATACCGTGCATAGACCTATTTGCACAAAAAACCTAGGTGGGTAAAACGCGGAACTCTCATTTTAAAAGATCTTCCCGGGTGAATTTCGGAAAGAAAAAAATCAGAGGAGTTGTTGAGAATATAATACATTTATCCAGATTAAAATTAAAAGATTGTGACGATTTTTAATGTTGGTTCTGCAGCGCTAAAGATGCCCCCTCCTACGGCATCGGAGCCAGTACGTGTACACTGCACATAACGTGCATAGGCCTACTTGGACAAAAAAACCTAGGTGGGTAAAACGCGGAACTCTCATTTGAAAAGGTCTTCCCGGGTGAATTTCGGAAAGAAAAAAATCACAGGACTTGTTGAGAATATAATACATTTATCAAGATTAAAATTAAAAGATTGTGACGATTTTTAATGTTGGTTCTGCAGCGCTAAAGATGCCCCCTCCTACGGCATCGGAGCCAGTACGCGTATACTGCACATACCGTGCATAGGCCTATTTGCACAAAAAACCTAGGTGGGTAAAACGCGGAACTCTCATTTTAAAAGGTCTTCCCGGGTGAATTTCCGAAAGAAAAAAATCACAGGAGTTGTTGAGAATATAATACATTTATCCAGATTAAAATTAAAAGATTGTGACGATTTTTAATGTTGGTTCTGCAGCACTAAAGATGCCCCCTCCTACGGCATCGGAGCCAGTATCGCGTATACTGCATATACCGTGCATAGACCTATTTGCACAAAAAACCTAGGTGGGTAAAACGCGGAACTCTCATTTTAAAAGATCTTCCCGGGTGAATTTCGGAAAGAAAAAAATCAGAGGAGTTGTTGAGAATATAATACATTTATCCAGATTAAAATTAAAAGATTGTGACGATTTTTAATGTTGGTTCTGCAGCGCTAAAGATGCCCCCTCCTACGGCATCGGAGCCAGTACGTGTACACTGCACATAACGTGCATAGGCCTACTTGGACAAAAAAACCTAGGTGGGTAAAACGCGGAACTCTCATTTGAAAAGGTCTTCCCGGGTGAATTTCGGAAAGAAAAAAACCACAGGAGTTGTTGAGAATATAATACACTTATCCAGATTAAAATTAGAACATTGTGACGATTTTTAATGTTGGTTCTGCAGCGATAAATATGCCCCCTCCTACGGCATCGGAGCCAGTACGCGTATACTGCATATACCGTGCAATAGGCCTGTTTGGACACAAAAAAACCTAGGTGGGTAAAACGCGGAACTCTCATTTTAAAAGGTCTTCCCGGGTGAATTTCGGAAAGAAAAAAATCACAGGAGTTGTTGAGAATATAATACATTTATCCAGATTAAAATTAAAAGATTGTGACGATTTTTAATGTTGGTTCTGCAGCGCTAAAGATGCCCCCTCCTACGGCATCGGAGCCAGTACGTGTACACTGCACATAACGTGCATAGGCCTACTTGGACAAAAAAACCTAGGTGGGTAAAACGCGGAACTCTCATTTTAAAAGGTCTTCCCGGGTGAATTTCGGAAAGAAAAAAATCACAGGACTTGTTGAGAATATAATACATTTATCAAGATTAAAATTAAAAGATTGTGACGATTTTTAATGTTGGTTCTGCAGCGCTAAAGATGCCCCCTCCTACGGCATCGGAGCCAGTACGCGTATACTGCACATACCGTGCATAGGCCTATTTGCACAAAAAACCTAGGTGGGTAAAACGCGGAACTCTCATTTTAAAAGGTCTTCCCGGGTGAATTTCCGAAAGAAAAAAATCACAGGAGTTGTTGAGAATATAATACATTTATCCAGATTAAAATTAAAAGATTGTGACGATTTTTAATGTTGGTTCTGCAGCGCTAAAGATGCCCCCTCCTACGGCATCGGAGCCAGTACGCGTATACTGCACATACCGTGCATAGGCCTATTTGCACAAAAAACCTAGGTGGGTAAAACGCGGAACTCTCATTTTAAAAGGTCTTCCCGGGTGAATTTCGGAAAGAAAAAAATCACAGGACTTGTTGAGAATATAATACATTTATCAAGATTAAAATTAAAAGATTGTGACGATTTTTAATGTTGGTTCTGCAGCGCTAAAGATGCCCCCTCCTACGGCATCGGAGCCAGTATCGCGTATACTGCATATACCGTGCAATTGGGCCTATTTGCACAAAAATCCTAGGTGGGTAAAACGCGGAACTCTCATTTTAAAAGGTCTTCCCGGGTGAATTTCCGAAAGAAAAAAATCAGAGGAGTTGTTGAGAATATAATACACTTATCCAGATTAAAATTAAAACATTGTGATGATTTTTAATTTTGATTCTGCCTGTGTCAAACGCGAAACTCTTGGAGGCCCGCACCCATTGATCGCGTTGCCTGGGTAAAACATGGAACTATTAAATACAGAGGGCCTTCCCATGAACATGTGGAGGATATAAGACACTTGTCGACATTGCAAATAAAACATTACGATCATTCCATATTGTTACTTCGGCAGAATTCGTTCTGCAGCGGTACATTATCCCCCTATCAACTGTTTAAAACACGTGCTTCACAGAGCACTGAGTCAAAGCTGCACCCTTGGTTTGTAAACGGCATGTATCCCTGTACAGCATGTGTTCTGCACTGTTCTGCAAATACTGCACACAATTATTATACGACGGCACAAACAGGCGGGAAATCTTTTATTTTCAATTCATTTAAGGACAGATTATGGCGATTTTGGGACTTTTTTATGAGATTTGGCCCTTGCTGTACTTTGAAAGCCAGTATTTCATCTTAATTTAGTGTTTTATTAACAATTTTGCAGAGTTCCGCAGAGTTCTGCACGTTCTGCGAGTTCCGCAAAATACCAACTGCCTTTGCAGGCTAAAGAAGTCTTTTTTCTTCAGACAAACTCATGCTAGTTATAATTTTGAAAGGTTGCACTTTCAAAGAAAATGTGACTTTCCTACCTTTTTTGCAGTTCGCCATCTTGCTTTTTAAATTTATTTTCTGTTTGTCATCGTCGTCTTTAACCCCTCATAAATCAAAACCCTGCCCTCTTTCTACAAAATCAAACCTGCTGATATTCAAGAGGTGTCATTGCCAAATGTTCGAATGTGTCATGAAATATCAGAATGTCACTTTTGAGTGTCATTTAGTCAGCTGTTTTGGTGAGTCTTTTAACCTTATATAGGAAAGGGGTCCTAAAAGTAAGGATTACCATAGTTTATTTACACTTTAGAAGCACACTCACCCTCTAGTGATAGAAAAGTAGGTCCCCCCTTTTCACACATCAATATTTCTTGTAATTTCCAGGTTCATTTTCACACGTTTGCGTATCTAAATTCCAACACGAAATTACACAAAACGTTTAATTTTACTGGTAGTCCAGTAAATTGGCCACATTTATGGGGCTAGATCTCTATTTACTGACTGGATATCGGGGTTAATACTATTTTTACTATTTACCGGAAACACAGTGGCTGTCGTTCATGTCGTTACGGCAGCCGTAACGCAATTTTTAACTGCGATTGTTACGGCATGGCAGTCAACCGTCTGGTCTGGTTCACTGTGATAGTATTCAATGTCAGGATCTTTGGCTGTCGGAACCAGAGTATCAACCAAATGGTTGTCAGATGTTATTTTCCTTTAAGAAAATCTTCCAAAGCCATTGATTACAAAGAATAATAACATAAAAGTAAAGAAAACTGTTAAAAAACTCAATAAAAGAAAAAAATAAAGGTTGCATCACGAATTTCAATCGGATTTGGTTCACGGAAAGAATGTAGTATCTAGACGCCATTTCAGCAGTTGGAAAATCAAGAAAATTATTTCCTCACAACATTGGAAATGTTTCTCAGTTGCAGATTCATGTTTTTTCCCAACATTTTTGCAACGACTGACCTTCATTGAGATGATATATGAAGAAAAAAGTAGCGTCAGGTTGCAACATTCTTTCCCAGTTCACTTTCTATGACATACGTAGTATAAACGTATGTAATCACGGTGGAAACTTGTCCTCTTTAGAACATCATAGTGCGTGAACGAGGACAAACAGTGCCAAAATCGTGATACAGCGCACGCTGTACTGTGTGCGTAGAATGTTTGTATATCGGCGGCCTTATCAATTCATATACTGTATTTCTGCACAAGTAGTTCTCTGTGTACTTAGAAAAAACTCTTGCTCATAGTGAGGTGGGAAAATTTAACCTTTGTACAATTTGACTTAAAATCTTGACCGCAACCCCCCCCCCCCCCCCCCCCCCCCACCACCAAAGGACTATATGGCATTTGTAGACATTCTCAAATTGCAAACAAACTGTCTTACACCTTGGTCGATCACAGGAACCTCTGAAAGTTACTGATGCAATATATCTCACAAATGGACAAATTATAATTGGCTGATATTTAATTGCATCTACCAGCAATAATACGTCTTGTTAACAATAGGTGCGGTGTCATGTGCATTAGGCTGCTCATGCATAAAATAGTATATTTAAATACAGATATTAAATATACCAGGAAATTTGATTGCCGAAAATGACTTCTGGCGAGCCTATTTCGTTTCCGATTCAGTTTCTTTACATGAGTGAGTGACGTTTTCCATCTACAACAGTGACTGGGCAGATGCAACTTTTCCTGCATGATATTAGTTGAAGCATACCTGTAGTCCGGCAATGCAGATCACAGTTAAGGCAGCCATTGGAGCGGAGGTGACTAGCGTGCCCATCGAGGTCGAACCGAGCTGGATGATCCAGAGTGTCATCACTGAATTTTGCCAAAGGATTGGTAAGATCTTAAAGCTATAGTCCATCATTTGCAGCCATCCGAAAAGTAACTGGCGTAATTATTGTTGAAAAACATACTTGGTTGAAAGATAGTAAGGGGACTAAACTCCCTGTGAAATTAGTCTTTCTGGCAAGCTGTCATTTTGAAGTAATCAACGAAAGAAGGCCTTTCCAACGGTGCGTCTTAAGACGCACCGTAGGAAAATTTAAATTAGTAGTTCGTTTTATTATTTGGCGAAGCGCGCACAAGCATTGGCACGACGCACACGCGCGCGCAGTTGCTATAATTCATCGGATCAGTGCGCGACATCGCGTATATCTGCAATCGGCTCAGTGAGAACGCGTCTCGGACGCTGAATTCAAGCAATTCAAAACATGATTCAGCAAATTCTGATTTGAAATTGAGATCCTAGAATGCTGTTTTTCTCGGAATATACAGCTGAAGCTGAGCTGAAACTTCATCAGGTTAGTTGTTCAGTACCCTTCTTTAGATTTTGAACACTTTTGTTGCTTCAAATGAACAAAATGCACAAATTACAAATGATGGACTATAGCTTTAACAGAGTTTAATTTTCCTGTATCATTCTTTGTGACAGTAATCTGACGCATATTCAATATTTTTGATATCATTCCTCAATATCGAAAATTTTGATATTTCGATATGATTAAAAAAATTGCTCAGCGATATCAATATCAAAATAATATTGAATAATCAAGTAATATCCATATATCGATGGTGCTTATACTGAGTGCACGTGTACCACCTGCACATGGATGTGGGTCCACCTCGGTAACTCTTCCTAGGTTTGGTCGTTGGGTTACATGGTTCCCTGCCACTTTGGAAATCAGAAAAAAAACTTGAAAATGAGTTGCCATTTTTCCCAGTCGGAAAAACTAAAGGAATTTGGGAAAACACCAAAGACCAGAGACGACTCAGGGAATTTAACAATGACCCAGACGGGAAAAGGTTTATGCCAGTTTGGCGTAGGTGCCCCCCCCCCCCTCGCGACGCCCATGCCAGCAAACTTCGATACAATTAAACAAAACTGCACATTATGTGTATACTTGAATAAGCCACATATATCCCCAGCAGATCGAGTGCTAAATTGATAATTGAACTTTGAAAGTCGATGAGCAAAAACGAATTAACTAAACTGGTCAGGTATAATAATTTTTCATTGAGTTTTTTTTTATTGACGATGTGGTGTATATTGTTTAAAATGTATTGTACATTCTGGGAGTTGTTTGGGGGGGGGGGGGGGAGGCGGACTATGTATGCATGGTGAGCATTTTTTTGGAGGGGGTGGTTAGCAGTTGACAGGATTTGTACTCCTTTTTTCATATTGACAACGCTCATTTCTAACCAATAATTTTCTGGACAGACATTCCCATGACTGGAAACGTACAGATGAAGGACGACAGTGGTCTGATGCTCAACAAGCATGCCAGTATAGGCGAGGCAGGCATCCACAATGGCGACACCGTCTTCATATCGCACTCTGACCCCGAAAGTGAGTGGCAGCTAGTCCCTGTTAAAAATCTGAATTTTTCCAGATTTCCAGATTTGAAAAAACAAAACAAAAAAGTTTATGTAGAACAAAAGAAATTGGTATTATAACCCATTAGCACCTGGACTTTATTGTACAGGGTGGATCAAAAAAAAAAAGAAAAAAGGAAACCGAGATATTATTGCTAATTGGAACAGAAGTAGGGCACATGTGAATCAAAGGGAGATATCCTTTGTTAGGGTTGAATCTCCTCTTTAAAATGACACGCTGATCATGTCATTACATTCACGGTTGACTGAGCAGTGACCAATTTTATGAAAGGGTCTATTTACAGGCTTGCGCCACTTTCAGTTGTGGTTTTTGTTGTGTCATTTGTCACAAAGTGGAAGGCTATGGTTACCAATCAAGGCAGGTGTTGAAAAAAAGAGATTTCACCATGAAAAGTGGCGCAAGCCTCTAAATAGACCCTTTCATAAAATTGGTCGCTGCTCAGTCAACTGTGAATGTAAGGACATGATCAGGGTGTCATTTTAAAGAGGAGATTCAGCCCTAACAGAGGATATCTCCCTTTGATTCACATGTGCCCTACTTCTGTTCCAAGTAGCAATAACATCTCGGTTTCGTTTTTTTTTATCCACCCAGTATTAGTCACTGAAAAATCCATAAAACAGGGCGCTTTTGGGAGCTATAGTGAGTAATAGGCAAGGCGGTTTCTGGGGCTACATTGACTAAAGGGTTAGAGGTAGAGTATATCATTTGCAGCTGTACAAAAAGTAACTGACAAAATTATTGTTGAAAAGCATACTTGGTTTAAAGATAGTAATGGCACTAAAACTCCCTGTGAAAGCATTCTTTCTGGCATGCTGTCATTTTGAAGAAAACGATAAAAGAAGGTCATTGTCAAAGATGCGTCTAAAGATGCACTTTTGGCAATTTCCCTTTAGTAGATAGTTTTTGTCTGCACGATCATTAACACGACGCAGCGTGCGCGGTTGCTATTATTCGTCAGTTCAGCATGTGACATCGCGTAGCTGCAATTGGTTGAATGAGAATGTCACGGTGTCCCAGACGCTGATTTCAGGCGCATTTCAAAACATGACTCTGCAACTTTTCTTGGAATATACAGCATTCACTAAGCTAAAACTTCATCAGGTTAGTTGTGAAGCACCCTTCTTTTGATTTTGAGCACTTTTGTTGCTTCAAACGAAACAAATGCACAAATGACAAATGATTTACTCCACCTTTAAGAGATGCCTTTAGCCAAATACAAACATATACCACAGACCCTATGTTTCTCTGGGGCCCTCAGCGGCCCTGAAACCCTCTGCTGATTATTTCGTGGATTTTTCATTTTCCTCCCATCTCGCCCCCTGAAAACATTTACAAAACAAATTTGTCATCAAGAAACAGTTGCGGACTAAACACTTGTTTGTCATTATGCAAATATGCCAATTTCTATATTTGTGAGCGAAAAAAATAATTTTGAAAGACTTAAAGGGAATGTACATCATTGGCTTTTGCTGTAATTTTCAGAAATGGAGTATTTGAGGGGTTAGTATAATATATCAAATATTGTTACACTGACATGTTTGAAGTTTTATGTTCGAAAATGCTGGAAAAACCAAGAAAAATAAAATTGTTCAAGTAGTCTGGTTCCCTGACTCCACTAAAGATGAAATGGATCAATTTATAGTTGTCAGAAAATGGTAAGGTAAGGGAACCAGTCTAGCTGGCCTGCACCCGTTCATGAACATGTAACCAATACCAAACAAAATTTGGACTGAAAAAAGGTAAATTTGGAGCAGTAGTTGAAATAATATAGTTAGGTTTTTCCAACGGTGGTCGGCCGACCACCGTTGGAAATGTATACAAAAATACCATTTTCTTGAAAATGACTTCACACCAGGTGCCATAATTTTACAGGATGCTTTAGACTGTCATTTACCAACATCCTAGTAAGGTATTTCTTAAAAAACTTGGTAGTTTTATTTTTCGATGTTTGCAAATGTTGTATATTCCCTTTAACTTTGAAATACAAGAATGACATTTGAATTAAAAATGATGCATTCAAGGTTTGTTCTGGATCGGCTTACCACAGGATTAGGTGAAAAGGCAAAATTTTCAAAGAGTTAATTAAAATGCACTTTGGATCTGACAGCTGTCATGTAGTTGAGTAGTGGTAAGATAATATACAGCAAAACAGAGTCAAGATATTGTTTTTCTCCCCATAAAAAAATGCATTAGTGAGAACAGAGATCAGGTGGTAATTGCACATTTTTAATGATATTTAGTCTGCTTAGAAAGCCACAGGTAACGTTTGTATCATTAATATGTGATGGTATAGGCATCACTGTTTACAGTGGTGCATGACTTCTGTAATAAACTTTATTGATAATAGGTATTTTTTTCTATACATGTACAGCTTTTTACGATGATAAAAATGCACTGTACATTTCCTAAGGAGCATACAGCCAGATGCTGTAATTTGTATATGTGCAAATGGCGCAGTTGCATACGAGTATGTGTGGGCGTGTTCATCTGTTCAAACCGTGGACGAAAATTCCAGAGAACAAAAGAGAACAATATCGTCTACGATTCCCAGCATACGTCCGCGATTGGGATCGTGCACAAAACCTATGGGAGTCTTCCTAAAAAGTTAGAGTACAAACAAAAGAGGGACAATAGGACGTCCACTATCGACGGTGTGAACACGTTTGTGTGTACCTGCACATGTTATGCTGATTTGGAGCCGTGTTTTTGTGTTCGGTTTGGTTTCTCTCCAGGCGACGACGAAGCCATCGACGTGCGTCCCGGCCGCAGCATGGAGAAGCCAGGCATGTCCAATATTCTCATGCTGTTTGTCGGGTTTGTGTTGGTCACCGGTAGCATATGTGGCATTATTGCCCTGGCCATGAGATTCACAGAGGAAATATGCACTGATGAAGGGGTAAGTTGAGAAAAAAACAAAACAAATATATTTACTCTGTTTCTTCTGTAATGCTGTAGCCTAACTGATCTTAAAGGCATATGGGATCATTTTCTGTTCATGAATTGTGTTCGTTTCCAACAATAACACCACTCAAAATCCAAAGTAGAATGTTCAAACCTAACCCGTTGAAGTTTATATAGCTCAGTGGATATTACACTTTTCGGGAAAACCTTTTGATCACGAAGTACGATTTTGTCAGTAGTACCCTTTATTCCAAAAATCAGTCAGCTGATTGATCGTTGGAAATCACCTACATTTCTTGATTTCTTCAAAATGACAGCCAGCCAGATGGAATAATTTCATGTGGTAATTAGTACCAGTAGGATCTTTAATCCAAGTAAGCTTTTTGATTATAATTTGGTAGGTTACTTTTTGGATAAACTCATATGATCCTTTATGCCTTTAACTGTTTGTGTATGCTTTTCCTTCCATTTAATTAGTGAACTCAATTAACATTAAGTTTTCATTTTGTATTTTTAGTATGGTGCCGTGTTTGATGCAGGCTCGTCCCATACAAACCTTACTATCTACAGTTGGCCGGGAGACACGAAAACAGATGGGACCGGGATCGTCAAACAAGAAGGAACGTGCCGGGCGTCAGGTATGTTTGGCATCATTCGCCATGCACAGAAGCCTTCTCATTTTGTTGTTCGGGTCGAATTTATGACTTGTTTTGTGAAAAACAGATACATCTTGGCAGCTGGTCGAAAACAGACCTCTTCCCTTTTATTGTTTGGGAAAAAATGTGTTTTACTTCGGAAATTAGGCCAAAAATTTGCCTTGGTGCCCTCCATTTGCCTTTGTTCCCTTCTCCAGGTCGAGCTGCCCACGGAAAGTCGAGGTGGTGTGACAATAGAAGGCGCTGTTGTAGCTACTGCCGAAAAATTTGAAAAAAAAACACCAAACATTGGCCAATTTGAATATTGTAATGTCACAAAGATATAAATGGGGATATTGCTTGAGAAAGTGTTCATAAGATGGAATTTGCACTGGGGTGATGTAAATTCAATATTCCCTTTTGCCCTTTGCCGACGTGTTTTTGTAAACACCGTATACTCACTGTTGCCCCAAGTGATCGTGAGAAAACAGTTTTACAAACCAGTCAGGTGGGACTCGAACCCATGACCCCCTGCTTACTAGTGCAGACGTCTTTACCACTTGACCCAGTCTTCCGACCCCGGCAAGCTCGGCAGTCGAGTGATAAGACATCTGCACAAGTGAGTAGGAGGTCGTGAGCATGAGTCCCACCCGAGTAGATGGTGGAATTTTGCTAGAAAAACGCTCAGGATAACGCTGAATATACAGTGTTTATAAAATGTGTTGGTGAAGGTCAAAACCCAATATAGAATTCTTGAGAAAACTTTTGGGTAATGCATTTCTCCAAATGTTACAGCTCTACAAATTATCAAATACAAAAGTCTGATCCGAAACTTTCAGAGCCTATTTTAGACATATTTTAGACATATTTAATAAAAAATTCCCAAAAAATTGAAATTAAAAAAAAAATCATTCCAACAATGTTATATAAAAATTCCAAAAAAAGTGAAATTAAAAAAAATCATTCCAACATAGTTTTTTTGATCATATCTCCATTGCACAAAAATTAGACTTTGTCATATGAAACATTCCAGGATCCAATTTCATGGCTCTGCTTACCACAGAATTCCATGCTTACGATCACTATTTTGAGCTTACAGCACTAGCAGAAAAATTCTGTGCTAACCCTGTAAGCGCAGAATCCTTTGTTGCGGGATGTAGGCATGTGCAGTAAGCAGTGATTTTTCGCTAACGGTAAGCATATCCAAGAAATTGGGCCCAGGTCTTTTGAGGCAATTCCGAATTTAAGTTGACGGCCAAAGTGCTCCGGTAAATCTCAAATGCTTTTCCCTTTAGGTGGAGGCATCTCTAGCTATGATGACAACCCCCAAGATGCTGGACCCTCCCTCGTCTCCTGCCTGGATGACGCCAAACAAGTCGTGCCCAAACAGCACTACAACTTGACCTCCTTACATCTCGGAGCAACAGCTGGAATGAGGCTATTAGAGTAAGGATTGGAAAGAAAGAAATGAAGATTTGTAATGGAATTTTGAGGGACCATTTCACGGACCGTTTCGATGGACTGTTGCCACAGTGCATTTTTCAGTCGCGCAGGCACGTCATACGCAACTTGAAACATGTCATACGCAACTCCAAACATTTCAGACTTCTGGTTGATCACGGGCTGTGATTTTTCAAATCATCATGGCGTATGAGGCTAGACAGACTGAACTATTGTATTAGACTGAAAGCTTCTGGGTACATAGAATCACTTTTTTTCATTTGAAGCAACAAAATTGCGTTAAATCTTAAAGATAATATACAACATTTGCAAACATCCCCCAAAAAACAAAAAAAACTACCAAACTACTATGAAATACCTTACTTCACTGTAAGTGAATAATAGTCTCAGGCATCCTGTGAAATCATGGCACCTGGTGTGCTGTCATTTTCAAGAAAAATGGTATCAATTTCAAACGATAGCCAGCCGACCGTCGTTTGAAAAAAAAGTGATATTTTTTTCCCAATACTGTCCCCCATTTTAGTTAGTCCCCATTTTGTTTGCAATCGGCTACACGTCTGTGAACGGGTGCAAGCCAGCTAGTCTGGTTCCCTGACCTGACAATTCCCCGAACTGACCCCCGTACCTTGCTTCACAAAATAGAACAAATTTACTGCACTGAATCATGCAATCTTGGTTTCATTCTTCTTCTACAAAGATTCTCCATGCATTGGTATAATGTGTGGTTTGAGTCTCAGCTAGTGTAGGGTAGTGGAAGTATGCCATTTCAGTTTTGTTGACCACCCTGTATTCGCTCTTTTCATGCTCTGCCATTGAGCATACACAGCCTCAATCTGGCAACTTTATACAATAAAACAATCAGTTCAGTGATCTGAACACCAACACGGGAATCACTGAACCAGCTATATTGATTGTGTAAAGTGCCCGGGGGCCAATTTCAAGGCGCTGCTAAGCACAAAAATTTGCTAAGCACAAAAAAGTCTGGCTTTTAAAACCAGGTTACCAGCCAAAACTCATTGTGATGTATATTGCTCGTGATTGGTATTCGGCTTTTGTTTGCTTAGCATGAAAATCATATTGACTTTTGGCTGGTAACCTGCTTTTATAAGCCAAACTTTTTTGTGCTAAGCAAAGTTTTGTGCTTAGCAGCGCCGTGAAATTGGGCCCAGATCGAGGCTGTGCATGCCCATGGCGGAAGTGTGAAAAGAGCAAATATGGACCTTATTTACAATTACAATAAGGAACTGAAAATACCCTTATGGAAAGGCGGCATAAAAAAATGACTGTTTTCTTTCAGGAAAGCGGAGCCTAGCACCAGTGCTCTGATCATGGAGTCCGTGCGTCAGACCATGGCTTCCTACCCATTCAACTTCCACCCTGACCAGGCCACCATCATCTCAGGCTCAGAGGAGGGCAGCTACGGTTGGGTCTCGGCCAACTTTCTGTCGGGCACGCTCAATCCCGTGAGTAGATGCATTTCGGGGGGTTTGTCGAAGGGGCATTTGTATTTGCAGAATGTGGTTCAGTTTGCAGGGATCCCAGTGTCATGGAAACATCCTGGAAATTAAATTTAAGTTTTTATTCCAAAAAAAACCGTAATAGAAAAGTCATGGAATCCTGCACAACCCTTATGTGATGATCAGGGTGACAGTTTAAGCCAATTTTCGGCTAGATCTGGTGGATTTTTTGGGGAAAATAACACGAATCTGGTGGAAAATCTAGCAGAATAAAATATTAGCAGATTTCTAGCAGAATTCTGTAAAATCGGTGATCCTAGCAAAAAAACATAACAAAATTTGTTTTGAACAAGCTTCAATCACTTCAAACAAACCCTTGAACAGCGGGATAGGCAGGTCAGTCTAAACGTTGAGGTTCGTTGATGTGTACGACTACACCGTAAAGTACTATAGACATTGGAAACTAGGCTAGACATGCACCAGTTTATTTTACAAACGTGCATTTTCAAGGATTGCATTGAAAAAAAAATACATTACATTGCATGGGCCCTTTAAGCCTGTAGTGTGATATGTCTCTTTCAGAGCTCGACACTTTCCAGTGCCATTACCGCCGCGTTTTCCTCCGACCCGCCGTCCACCTTCGGGGCGCTAGACCTGGGAGGTGCCTCCACACAGATCACGTTCATACCTCAGGACCCTTCCTCCATACCCCCGCAGTATGCAGAGACATTCATGCTTTACGGAGTCAACTACACCATGTACACACACAGCTACCTGTGCTATGGTGTAAATGAGGCCATCCGAAGATTCAAAGCCACCTTGGTCAAGGTAAGTGCTTGAAAGACATATCTCGCCTTCAAAGACTCCAGAACAGATGTGGTAGGCTAATCTTTCAGATGCCAAAACACTCCCACACCTCACCACTTCTCAGACAACTTCACTGGCTCCCAGTCGCTCAACGCATTGAATTCCGCACACTCGTCCATGCCTACAATTCTCTACATCACTGTGCTCCCGACTACCTATCCTCTCTCCTTACAATCCATGAATGCTCATACTCCCTTCGTAGTTCTGATGCCATATCCCTTGTGGTTGACAAGTCTCACAAAAAGTCCGGTGACAGGACATTTTCCATTGCTGCCTCCCGTTTATGGAATGCTCTGCCTGTCTCCATCACAAACACTGATTCTGTTCTATCCTTCAAGAAAGGACTCAAGATCCACCTCTTCCCCAAACAGTAGCTGGTTTTCCTCATTCTTTCATAATTTGTTCCCTTCTAGCGCCTTGCATCCTTTGGTAATTTGGCGCTGTATAAATCCAGTTATTATTATTATTATTTAAAGACGTTTATTATGCCAAAATGGCAGCATCAAACTGTATACCTTCCTAGTGCCCAATAAGCAGGAGTTATCAAAACCACTTGAGTGGATGTGTGCATTTTCTGTACAGTAAACTCTTATCAACTCAAACTCGGATAACTCGAAACTCTGTTTTTCTCGAAGTAATACTCCATTCCCGTCATTAAGAGAATAGGATTTTATGTATATGAATACCCCCGGAACTCAAAACGCCCACACTGATACCTTTGTTTAACTCGAACTTTTGTTCGGCCAGTCCATGGGAAACGCTGCCAAAACAGTCACAAAGAAGCGTAAACAACAACACAAAAATGTTTTACTTGAACTTTTGTTCGGCCGGCTCATAGAAAACGCTGCCAAAACAGTCACAAAGAAGTGTAAACAACATCCCAAAACTTTTTCATGATTTCATGACTCATTACTGCCCAACGGACTTTGTCTTTTCACATGGGGGTGCAGCTTACATGTTGCATTGTGATCAGACTCCAGCCCATAACCGCAACAAAATCCTGGCTTTCAAAGTTAGCCTGATTGCTACCGCTGGCCCAATTGTGACCCGCATGCCAGCAGTCCAATCACTAGACTCTTTGTGGTGGCCGTGTGACCACATTGGAAAGCACTGAGGATGCGTGTGAGATAGCCCGATCACTACCGCTGGTCCAGTTGCAGCTGGTTCGCCCACTATCGATTTAATAGGACCGGCCATGTGACCACGCCGCAAATAAAAAAAACCTGAGCATGGTGCTTTGATATCACTAAAAAACGACACGAAATAAAGATTTACTACTCACAGTTACACATTTTGAGTGGTTTCATGTCATGTTTTAGGTAAGAACAAAATGAAATCTGAGTAAAATGATGCTTGGTGACTAAAAAAATACAGCATTAGAAAGTAAAGAAAGAAGGGAAGGGTGTCAAATAATGTGCCCATTGCATAGCGAGTAATGGTAGAAGCCATTCATGTAAACACATGTATGTGTAGATGACATGACAGTAGAAAAATCGGGAACTTGCTTAAGTCGAACTCCAGATACCTCCAATTTTCTATCCATTCCCTTGAGTTTCAACTTAATTAGCATTTACTGTAGTTATAATTATTTGATATGTGAGTTACTTCTGTTCTTAAAACCTCAATTTGTTTTCCCAGGATTCAGGATATGCCGACATTACCGACAACCCCTGCGCTCCGAAAGGCTTCAAGGAACCCGTGGACAGCAAATACCTCTGGGAAGTTCCCTGCAGTTCGGGGCCCCAGGCCCTGGAGGGCTGGGGGTCAGAGCTCACGCCCCCTGCAAGCGCCCAAAACACGACCTTTCAGCTGAACGGGACGGGTGACTTGGACCAGTGCCAAACTGCTGTCGGGAAGCTGTTCAATTTCACGACTCCCTGTCTAATAGAGCCGTGCTCGTTCAATGGAGTTTACCAACCGAAGCCGTTTGGACAATTTCTGGTAAATATATACAGTTGTGGGGAATGAGCCTGAAAGTTCGCCCCTGATGGCTCACTTCCAGAACCCTTGAATAGGAAATTTAGTGTGCATAAATTGAAAGTAATCTTATATTCAGAAAAAAGTAGTAATGCCTGGGGTGTGGTTTCGCGATCGCGACCCGAAACATGTTTGTGACGTCAAATTGATAACCAGAAACATGTTTACACATGCGCACAAAAACGCTGAACCGAAAACCGTGTCAAAAAGCTGTAAACAAACATGGCGGACATTTTGACAACATCGATAATTTTTAGGTGTTTACGGCCAGTCCTGGCGAAATTCGGGATAATACCTTGTGGGCTTGTAAGTTGTTTAGACATTTTATTACAGGCCACTTAAAATGTACAAACTTACGTATCGATGTACGTATTGAAATGCACTCCGTAATCATGGAGCTATTCGTAACTGACCCTTGGCCTTGGTTCGGTTTTGGTCGGAACAGTGACATTACTCCAGCCAACCAAAGTCACGAAAACGCTCATGTTTCTGGTTACGGTCACGAAAACACGCCCCTGATCGTCGCACTGAATTTTGCGCGCATAGTGTGTAAGATACGCGTATGCTTCAAACTAATGTGCGTATTCTCATGAGCGCTTCGCGGTGACTATAAACTGCCCAAAAAAGGCTTAGCGTTCAGCAACCATGAGCGTCAGACATTCATCATCATGCAGCTGACTATAAACCGGGCTTTATACTGAACACCACTGTACCGAAAAATTTGGCTACAACCAACATCTGATTGAACGCCCAATTTTACGTATAATTTTAGTGTGCAATGGTGGCCTAAAGACCTTCATTGAACACTCTTTTTGGGGGCATCCATTATGTTAATTATTGTGAAGTCGTACTATAGATACATTTTTCATCTCTTTTTTCTCTGCATTGCAGGCATTCAGCACTTACGAAAAGCTGATCAGTGGTCTTGGCCTTCCAAAGAATGCCACTATTCTGCAAATTCAGAGCACGATGAAATCTTTCTGTGCTAAAACATATGACGAGGCAAGTCCATTTTCTGGAATGTAAAACTGAAGTTGTTACAAGAGTTCACACAAACATTTATTTATATGGGGTCATCTGTTTAAAGGGAAGCTACAACATTTGCAACATCAAAAAACGAAATGGTCAAATTATCAGGAAATACCTTACTGGATTGTTAGGGAATGACAGTTAAAAGCATCCTGTAAAATCGTGGCTATTTTGGTATTTTTCCAATGCTGGTCGGTTGACCAGCGTTGGAGAAAAAAACTGGCTTTTTTGGTTAAATCTGCTCCTAAATTTTCATATATAGTTATTCCGCATTTTCTTTGCAATTGATTACACACTTGTAAGGGGTACAAGCCAGCTAGACTGATTCCCCAAAGTCTATAAATTGCTCCGTTTCATCTTAAGTAGGGTCAGGGAACCAGACTACAAGAACATGATTGGTTTTCTTGGTTTTTCCAGCATCTACAAGCCCAAAACGTGAAACAAGTCAGTTTAACAATATTTGCTATAACATACTAATCTTCCAAATCCATTTATTTCTGGAAATTGCAGCAAAAGCAAATGTTGTACATTCCCTTTAAGCCCTACTGGGTTTTGTAGATGATCACTCATAGACAAAATCAAAACTTTATTTTGCTTTAAAATGCACATGTTGAGTGGGAAATAAACTAAACCTGAAACCTATTGAATTAAACGAATAAGGTTATAAATTTATGGTCCACTTTTTCCTGTCCCTGTTACATGCACATCTGGCATATACGATTTTATAATTCTAATGCACTCCTTAAAGGGAATATACATCATTTGCTTTTGCTGTAATTTTCAGAAATGGATGGAATTGGGGGGTTGGAAATATATAGCAAATATAGTTACACTGACTTTTTTGAGGTTTTGGGTTCGAAAATGCTATAAAAACCAAGAAAAACAATCATTTTCCTGTAGTCTGGTTCCCTGACTCCATATAAGAAGAAACAGAGCAGTTTACATACATTGGGGAATTGTAAGGTCAGGGAACCAGTCTAGCTGGCTTGTACCCGTTCATAGGTGTGTAATCGATTGCAAACAAGTGCGATGGTCAATTGGGGCCAGTATTTGAAAAAAAGGCCAGTTTTTTTCCAACGCTGGTCGGCCGATCAGCGTTGGAAATTGATACAAAAATACCAGTTTTCTTGAAAATGACAGTATACCAGGTGCCATGATTTTACAGGATGCTTTACACTGTCATTCACTAACAGTCCAGCAAGGTATTTCAAAATGATTTGGTAGTTTTATTTTTTGATGTTTGCAAATGTTGTATTTTCCCTTTAATGCAGTCGCCCTCCAAGAGGGATTATGAAGAGCAAACTACTTACCCAACAAATAAAAAATTGTTTAATGATACTTGAAAGGCAAATTACAATGTTCCAATGTACGGGGGACAAGATAAATGTCACACTTTGAGTCCTAAATTAATCAAATGACCACATGCATATCGGCTGATGTGACAAAATGTCAGGAGTGTTGTTTCAATTCTTGTAGATCATGTTTCTTTCACAGCTCTTTTACTGACCATGTCAAACATTTACCTTTATTTGTATCTAGATCAAAAAGATGTCGGGTAACACCCAGTTCCTTGTGCTATACTGCTTTGAGATCAACTTCGTCTTAACTTTGCTTCGTGAAGGCTACCACTTTGATACAGACACTTGGAAGATATCGTTCACCGGAGAGGTACATATGTCTCATTAGTGAAGAAAATTTATCAAGCTCCATAGCTTGGTGATCACCAAATTTGGAACAGAAGTGGAGCAATGGTGTAATTCGTCGAAAAAACTTAAAAGCCATTTTTGCGATGGTGCCATGCCTGCGTGCATGCAGCACGTGTTCTAATAGCCAGTTCACGTCGGAAGACGTGTATACACGCAAAGGTTTTGCGGTAGTCGGAACAGATGACGGATAAACATGCAACGGACAAGGCGGGAGATATCTCTCTGCGACCCGCTCTCAGCAAGCGAGGCAGGAAATATCAGGGTGTGCTACCCGCAGATGACGGCCTGAACCTGTCTGGCATCGAGGTTCATGACAAACAATCCCACGCCTGGGCCCAGTCAATGTCAAAATAATCCCTGTGTGAACTGGTTCAAGATGAGGCGGGCGCGTATTTTGGTAGAGCCCTATTGGTCGAAGGAGCCCAGAGTGCATGCGTACCACCTGAGCGCGACTTTTGCGAGCCTAGTGCTACCGCAGAAAATGGCTGTCGCCAAATTACCTGTAGTTGTACGCAGCCATTAGCAATTTCAAAATACAGAAATTATACCTTCGCACCAAATTGTCTTGTGAAAAAAAAATTTGATTGTTTTGCAGGTCAGAGGTCAAGAGTTAGGCTGGTCGCTAGGCTTCATGATCAACGCCACCAACATGATCCCGAGCGAAGCCGCGTGCACAGAGTTCACCAGGTCCGGGTTCTACATAGGTATAGCCATCCTCATTGCTGCCTTCGTCATAGGTTTCATTCTGCTGGTGTGCGGGATCTACAGATGCACGCGGCCCAAACAGCAAGGCGGGTACGAAGAACTCAACCCAGACTTTGCTCACGGAGGACACAAGTATGGCACAGTGTGATCGCTAGTAGAAACTCTAGGTTTTTTTTACCGTTTTAACCCATTACAGTGGTGAATCTATTGGGAGGGGCTGCTAAAAAAAGCGAAATAACTTAAAAAAAAAAAACAATACCAGACAACTGATGATCCCCCTCTTGACAGCTAAGCCCTCCTCTTGAGACAAACCTCCATCTGCTCATGCATTAGTTCCTGTTCAGCAACACAAAGCCCAGCCTGTTACTTCCTGTACCGCTCCAAACTACGCCAGCACCCTATGGTTTTATGGAATCATCACTGAATAAATACCGTGTAATACAATGTAATACAATGTAATACAATGTAGTACAGTGTAATACAATGTAATGGGTATAGCCCTTTAGTAACCATGACAACCAGCATTTCCAACCTTCTGTCCAATATCAGTACTTGAGAATTGAAAGTTTTTCAATAAATTGAATCCTACCGTTCAGGGCACAGAGCTTTCAAAATATAACATTTTGTAGTAAAGTTAGAAAATCGAAAACTGAAGTCACAGAATTTCACAGGAGATTGTTGGCATACAGCATTGTATACTGAGAAATGTGTGATTTACTGTTTCTAGTTTAAAAGTCCGGGGCCTTTGCTGGAGGCAAAATAAAATGTCATTAAATTAATTGTGAAATGTTATTGGCAATAATCCTTAAAGGTAGAGTACATCATTTCTACAAAGCTATCCACAAAGTAACTGAGGAAATTATTGTTGAAAAGCATACTTGGTTTAAAGATAGTAATGGCACTAAACTCCCGGTGAAATTATTCTTTCAGGCATGCTGTCATTTTGAAGAAAACAATAAAAGAAGGTCATTTCCAAAGATGCCTCTAAAAACGCATTTTTGGAAATTTCCGTTAGCAGTTCGTTTTAAATTCGGTGAAGCCGTGAATGGGTGCTCGCAAGCGTTGACACGACGCACACGAGCGTGCGGTTGCTATTATTTGCCGGTTCAGTGCGTGACATCGCATTGCTGCAATCGGCTGAATGAGAACCTGTCCCGGATGCTGCTTTTAGACACAATTCAAAACATGACACTGCAACTTTTGAATTAAAATTGAGATCCTAGAATATTGTTTTCTCAGAATATACAGCATTCACTGAGCTAAAACTTCATCAGGTTAGTTGTTAAGCACTCTTCTTTAGATTTTGAGCACTTTTGTTGCTTCAAACGAAAAAAAAGGAACAAATGACAAATGATACACTCTACCTTTAACCCCAACAGTCTTGACTCTTGAATCATCCAAGATTAATATGATTTTTCTCACACCAAAGAGGCTACTTGTCTTAATTGTATTTGTATCTCTGATTACCTTTTTTGGCAATAAGACGAATTTTAAGGATACATTTTCTGAAGTAAAAAAAAAATTGATGCTTAGTTCTAGTCTGATTACGCTATGTACATAGCAAGTGTTTATAGTTTAGGCTATAGATATATATATATTTCACAACAAGTTGCCAATGTGAAAAATTATCTAAAAAAGTCCCCGAAAGGGTATCTTTCCATTCACTTGACATGATTTGGTATGGTTATTTTGGCTGTTACTTTCTTTGTTTTTAATCTTTGGCATAAAAAAACCTGGTGTCTTCCAAGCTTTCATAAGTGGAATTAGCTTCATTAGTGAAATTATTCCAACTGGCTTGCTGCCATTTAGAAGAAATCAAGAAATAAAGGTAATTACCAATGATCAGTCAGTTGACTGATTTTTGGATATAAAGAGTACTAGAGACACAAGTGTTGTTCGTGATCACAATTGTTTTCAAGGTGTTTCACTGTTTTCTAAAAAAAAAAAAAACCGTAGTTTCCACTGAGCTGAAAGTTTAACAGGTTAGGTTTTGCAGATTCTTCGTTTAATTATTAGTGTTATTATTGGAAACATGCAAAATGCAAGAAAAGTAAAGGTTCTTAAAGGGACACTAGGTCCTGGAACAGCCCAATTGGGCTACAACACGCGCTTTGAATGAGATTATGTTAATCGGAAAGAACATTTAAAACTAGGATAGAAACATCCACACAAAAAAACCTGGGTTTTTTTGGTGTTATTCCTGTATTATGTGTGCGAGAACGAATTTCGGGGTCCACTTTTGCGACCCCATAAATTCGAGGCGTTTGGATGCTAGTTGTGATTTCATACATACATGTACGCGTAAAGTGTTCGCCTTTTGCAGACGTTGAAGAAACCATTTTTTTTGCATTGGTGATTGGTCACCGCTGTATTGCCGAGACACACAACGTGTATATCATACACTGTATGAGAACGACACGAAAAACGTATTCATATTCCGTCGTGTACGATGTAAACAACCAGGGTTTTTTCGTCTTTTCTCGGGAACGGTAAGACATTAGGTTGGTTTCCTTTCAACCGCATGTTTGAAATAGGATAAGTAAACAATTCAAAACATGAAATTTTCGGGGATTTCAGGACCTAGTGCCCCTTTAAGCCCTTTATCCTACTGTGGTCTTCAAGAAATCAAGTGGGATGTTACTGTTAAGATTGCTTTATATACTGCTGCTTTCATACAAGGAATCAAATAATTTAAATCTTAAAATGGCAATATGAGTTGTTTTCACGCATTTATACTATAGTTTTGTTAAGCAGCTTTACAAAGTGCACTAATCAGAGCGATAAATGTTAAGCGGATTTTCAGCATAGCCTTTTACTATTCGAGGATATTTTTGGCGTGCCATGGTGATCACTTATCAGTCACTGAAATATTTGACCTTCGATGATTTGAAATGTGTAATATTTGTATATTTCCGAGAACGTTTTGATAATAAAAATGGTATATATTGATCTTGCCTTTGGAATATGTTGATGTGTAAATTACTTTTTTGCATAGTACACTGTAATTCCTTTTCTGAACAATTGAAGGTACTGAACAATTTTTGTATTTGTTGGGTAGGTAGTTTGCTGTTCATAATCACTCTTGGAGGACGTCTGCATTAAGGACATCCAGAATTATAAAATCATAGATGTCAGATGTTACGGGGACAGGGAAAAAAGTGGACCCCAAATTTATAGAATGACCCATAAATCTTTTGCCCTTCACAGATGTAACGTTATCAGCATTATATGCCAAGTGCTTTCTGAGATCATTTGTGAAAACAAGCGCGAGTGCACAATAAGCTCTGGCCCAGTTCTGGCATGTCTCACTTTGTATGCAAAATAGACGCGCATGTGCATTGATCGAGACAAAGGGGCATGTTCCGAAAACTTTCGCCAAGAGTGCATTTACTGACGACAGCATTGCATTTAGTCAATATTTGGTCAATTGGTAGCTATATCTTATGGGAAACTTTGGGGGCCTGTTTTTGGTCAATTTTCCGGGGACGGACCTACCAACCGACCAACCGACCGACCAACCAGGAAGAGACATGTAGATATTTTTGTGATTGTGGAGGGTGCAGTGTGTCAAGGTCTTGGGCCGGACCTCGTGTTGTTTACGCACAGCCGTGCATAAATTTAGGCCTACATTATACTTGAAATCCTCCGCACTGCTCCAGGATGTCACTGGCTCTGCCTCGACATATTGACAGTGATTGCTGGAGGATTTTGCAGGACTGAGGCAGTGGTCGCCCCTCCAAGGACCACATTCAAGAAATAATGGAGGAATTTGCAGGATGGAGGCTGTATGCAATTTTTACATGGAGGCAGTTGGCGGATTGAGGTTGCGTCCTAGCAAAAATGCGATGTAGTGACTATATCCATTGTCAAGCAAACAAAAACAGGTTTTATTGAACTTCTTTTCAACATAAACGCTCAGGATCTCCATACAGTATATACAGTGAGAAATATACAAGTTGCCATTCTGTACAATATTAACAAAGAGAGCACGTAGCACATCATGTACATTTGGGACACCTGTGTTTCAACAATTCACTGGCCTATAAAGCACATCATAATTTACTATGTATATTTAATTTTTTTTACAAAATGAACAAACAAGAGAACACACTCCATTGGCAGTTCATGTTTGTATAGAACTCACATTTAAAGGAAGTTTCTTGCCAACAGTTTTGGTAACAAACTTCGAGGCAATCCTTATTGGAGTGCTGTGGTCCAATGGTTACGGTGTTTGACTCATGTGCCGTGGTACGAGGGTTCGAAACCTGATGGGGAACATGGTGCTTGTGTTCTTAGGCAAGACACTTTACCACAATTTGCCTCTCTCTGCCACGGAGTATGAACGGGTACCTGTGAAGGTAGAGACCAGATTGCGCTGATCCCGAGATGTCGAAGTGTAAAGTTGCTATAGAAGCTCCACATTTTTGTTATAAATTATTATTTTTTTCATGAATAAGAAGATTTCATTTGAGAAAACCCAACGGTACAGCCAAAACAGCTGCAACATCTGTACTGTTATTTCCCATATTCGAGTAAAAACTGAGATTTCATTGGATAAACCACAGATTGAGGCAAATTTTTGTCCAATCACAGGACAGAACAAAGCCAGACTAATTTTTCTTGAAAAAGGACTGAAATCAAAGTTCCTTCATTCCATTTTTTGGGGTGTAAATGTTCAGTAATTGCATCTGGTCTCTCAAAATAAAAAAAATGCATGCACCCAAAAATGCAAAGTTATAAATTCTCCCAAATGAGGGTGTGATAACATCAAACGTTAAACCCCAAAACACAAATCAACACATACATATGGTAGGACTTGAAAGAATCATAACTTCTCCAAACTAAAGTTGTGAAAAGCGACTCTAAATGCTTCACCCCACAAACAAAAAGCAACACAACAATTTTATCCAGTGTACACTTTGGGGGTTCAGGAAATAACAAATTCTAGAAGAAAGGATCCCCTTCCCTCCCCCCCCCCCCCCCAAAAAAAGGGGAAAAGTTGACAAAACAATAAAATATGAATGTACTTGTTCACCTTTTCGGTCAACAGTATCCCGGTGCATAAACTAAAAAGAGCAATAACCTAGATCACTGCAATTAGTGGTGGGATTTAAATCCCGATTTTAAAAAATTTGCTTTGAATTCTACTATTTGGTTTCCATTTTGGAAAACCGGATATTCGAAACCAACCTTAAAAAAAAATAAAGGCTTCCATTGTTGTGACACAGGCTAAAGAAACCAACTGGAACATCCCCAAATTTGCTCAACGGTCTCTGATTGTTATTGCATTCACTTGCAAGTAGTCTTGGTATATGAATAGACTACCCATTCGACTTATCAGAGAGCTCCCATCCATTTTTGTCAACATTACAGCTCTGGAGTGTTTTCGCATAAATGGCCCAGTGGTCACTGAATTCTGGAAACTATACCCAGTCACTGGGAGGCATTTCAGGTGGCACCTTACTCGTCGCTTTTTGCTTTTTGTTTTGAGATTTAATTTTTCAGAGATGTGGGACGAAAAGTAAGAATTTCAAAAAGAAAAGTAGGAGCAAGGTAAAAAAAAACTAGGAAAAAGTAGGAAAAGTAGGAATACTTGAAAGCCTGCTACTGGCATTTCTAGCAACGTGGGTAACATTGAACAGTGTGTGTGTAAGACAGACACAAGCCCACATAACAAATTCAAATTCAGCTGCTTTCAGACCGAAGCCTTAATATCTTCAATCAGCGGCTTGTTCTGGTTCCAAGACCAGATTTGGGTTTTGTGCCCCTAAAGCAGCCAGTCCCTGGCAAGTTCAAGCGCTGTGGTGGTAGATGGTGCTATCATCATAATGATGCAAATCAATTCTTGGGAACTTTGGCGCTCGGACCCGCAACAATCTGAGCATACCTTATGTCCGCTGTTTTCTAGTTAACTGTGATAGACACCATTTGCAAACACTAATAAAACGAAATGAAAATACCCTACTTGATCGCAAGTAAATTACTTTTAGGTCCTGAGCATCCTGTGAAATCATGCCCCTAGTATGCTGTCATTTTTAAGAAATGAGGAATGAACATCATTTCCTCAGATGGTTTGGACCTAACCATCATGAAAAAAAAAACCCACCTTTTTTCAAATACTGCCACCAATTCAGTTTAGTTGGCAATTGGTTACATATCAGTGAATGGGAATTAGTTTTTTCCTGCGTGAGAAATTGGGATCATACCACAAGAAGACGCTAACCAAAACAAATTAATGAACATTTTGGAAGGAAGGGCTTTTAAAGGAAACTTGATTTGCGTCGACAAAAATGTATTTTGACAGTTTTCTCAAAAAGTGCTTCAGATCTATTGCATTGTTGTTCTTCGAGTCGGCAAAATCACATCTTTTTTTGGCAAATGGTCTCCATTACATGTAATGCACGTGCATGAGGCATGCACAGAATGTCCCCGGGTCTGAGCGCCGAAGTTCCGAAAGGCTGGATTTCACTAAGGGCCCCAAACACACACACAGTCTTGAACCAAGGCTAACCACTGCCCCCTTCACAGTATCGTTATGGTCGTCTGTTGGCCCGTGCTGGTCTGCGTTCCCGGCGGTCGCTTCTCCGCGTGCCCGTTGCGCTGGTGGCCGTACTCAAACTTGATGCGCAACTCCCCGATGTGCGTGATGGGTAGGATGTCCGGGATCCACTCGATGATGAAGGGCGTGGGCTCGGTCATGTCAGGGGTGGTGTGGCCTGTGGAGGTATTATAAAATACAATTATTTTAATACAGTTCCTTCAGTACGAAATGGACTCTCACAGCGCTTAACTTCAATATTACCCCCACTCACTGTGTCCATAAAACATTCCAAAGACCATCTAAGCTCCTTGGGGAGTATACAGTTTGATGCTGCCATTTCGGTGCAAAGCAGTTTAAAGGTACAGTCCATCATTTGTAATTTTGTGCATTATGTTCGTTTGAAGCAACAAAAGTGCTCAAAATCTAAAGAAGGGTGCTTAAAAACTATAAACCAAATGAAGTTTTAGCTCAGTGAATGCTGTATATTCCGAGAAACACAATATTCTAGGATCTTGATTTCAAAATCAAAGTTGCCGAGTCATGTTTTGAATTACGCCCGAATTCAGCGTTCTCATTCAGCCGATTGCAGCTACGCGATGTCACGCACTGAACCGATGAATTATAGCAACCGCGCGTGAGTAAGTCGTGTCAACGCTTGCGCGCGCTTTGCCGAATTAAAAAAGAACTACTAATGAAAATTTTTAACAATGCATCTTTGACGCATCATTGAAAATGGCCTTCTTTCATTGCTTCTCTACAAAATGACAGCATGCCAGAAAGAAAAATTTCACAGGGAGTTTAGTGCCATTACTATCTTTTAACCGAGTATGCTTTTCAACAATAATTTCGTAAGTTACTTTTTGGGTAGCTGCAAATGATGGACTGTAGCTTTAAATACATCACAATAAACTACCTCTGCCCTCACTTATTGACATGGGGCATGCAGGCGTGTGCTACCTGTTCAAGACTACTCACCAACTTTGAGATAAGTCTTCAGCTCAAACGGTTTGATTGGGACTTGGCCGTTGATCTTCCTGTACATGGAGGGGTCTTGGTCCAGCCGAGGTGGGGCAGGGTTGAGGGTGAAACTCCCGTTGCTGCTCTCCACAAAGCTACGAGTGACCTGCAGAGGTACCTGGGCAAAGGACAACGATTTAAAGGACACTGTGACCTGGTGCCGATTTCATGAAACTGAAACCCTCCTCGAGTCTTCTGCACTTTACAACCCTTCAAGTTTTGCAAAACCACTTTTGCCCCCAGAGTTAGCACCCAGAGTTAGCACCCAGACTTCAAATTCCAATGAGGTAATCTTCTGTGGAGTATGAATAACACTTCACATCCCTGCGCAATTCTTTTGTGTGGTTAAGCTCAGGGCAAGCAGGCAGATTCGGTCACACTTCACTGTTCTCCACACTCCTGTTTTTGGTTTGTGCAGAGACTCTTTAAGTGACGCAGTTACTTTAGCACTTCATAACCCTTAACTTGAAACTGACCTGCCGGGTTTTAAAGGGTTTTACGTATTGCTCTGAATATTGACTTCCCACTAGGAGCGTTTTTGTAATGATTTAAAGCTATAGTCCATCATTTGCAGCCATCCGAAAAGTAACTGGCGTAATTACTGTTGAAAAACAAACTTGGTTGAAAGATAGTAAGGGAACTAAACTCCCTGTGAAATTATTCTTTCTGGGAAGCTGTCATTTTGAAGTAATCAACGAAAGAAGGCATTTCCAACGGTGATTCTTAAGAAGCACCGTAGGAAAATTTAAATTAGTAGTTCGTTTTGTTATTCAGCGCAGCGCGCACAAGTATTGGCACGACGCACACGCGCGCGCGGTTGTTATAATTCGTCGGATCAGTGCGCGACGCCGCGTATAGCTGCAATTCAAAACAATTCAAAACATGATTCAGTAACTTTTGATTTGAAATTGAGATCTCAGAATGCTGCTTTTCTCGGAATGTACAGCTGAAGCTTAGCTGAAACTTCATCAGGTTAGTTGCTCAGTATCCTTCATTAGATTTTGAACACTTTTGTTGCTTCAAACGAACAAAATGCACTAATTACAAATGATGGACTATAGCTTTAACCCTTGCTCTCTGGCCAGACGTTGTGTCCTTGGGCAAGCCATTTCACCACACTTGCCTCTCTTCACCCAGGACGGCCAGGAGGTCAAATGGGTACCAGCATTAGCTGGGGAGTAACCTGCCATGGACTGGCATCCCATCCAGGGAGAAATAGGAATATTCTCAATCGTTTCATGGCAAGGAAACTAGAGTTAAACGCCGACCTGGTGGGCCATATTGGCTAGTGACATATTTTTTGTTGTTGGGTGTACAGACCTTGTACTTGGTACAGATATGATACTGTGGCACATAATTATTCTGGGACAGAGCAACAACATAGGGAAGTCAATTTTTGTAAAATATACTGAAGTGATTTGAAGTGAATTAGAGAGTATGGTAGGCAAGGGTTTACTCCACTTTTGCCGAAATTTTTTGGGAAAATTGCGCAACAAGTTCTGATATATTCCACAAAATTGTGTATTTAAAAGAAAACTGCCATACGTTATTTTTTAGGCCAGAGTCATTTAGGCCAAAAAAAAAGTCTCCGGTTTCTGGTATGGAGCTTGCCCAAAAATTGGTGCAGCGACGCGGCTTTTTTTTTTTTCCCCTGATTTTTTTTGCCTCAAATGTCGGCTGATGACTGCAAATGGTGCCCGACTAAACTTAGTGCAATTATATGGGAGTCCAGAGAGGCCACATAAAGCTTATTCTCGATCATAACCCCATCCACAAACACGTTAAAATTGTGCAGCAGCAGGATTCCAGTCAAACCAGTGAGTTTGGCGGATTTGAGACATCATCTTTCATTGAAAAAAAAACTTTTTCATTTTGCCCACGCGCATGGCTACGGCGACGCGCGCGCATACCAGAAACCGGAGACTTTTTTTTTTTGGCCTTACAGAATAAACCTGAAAACTCACCAGGCTTGGATTTGCATTTTTTGTGAATAAATGTCATGATTTTTTTTGTTGGGGGGAATTACAATACCTCTTCTGTGTCAAAGATCTGCTTGACCTGTAGTACGTTTGTCAGGTGCCACATGTACTTGGAGAACGTTCCCAGGGGGAGGGCGTCCTTGCGGATGAACGCCGTCGTCGCGTTCGGTAATCGCTTCTTCCTGCCGCCGCTGGCGATTCGCTGCTGCAGGAGATCAAAGAAAACCTGGGGCACGTGGAACACCAAGGGCTCAGGCCGACCTGTATGTGACAGAGGGAGAGGGTGAATAAAGAGGAAATCATCATGAGTAAAAGATAGGGCTGGGATTGATAGTGTAAACTGTTGGTAGTGTATGGTACTGTTGGTAGTGTATTGATAGTGTAAACACCCAAATCCTCCCAAATCCTCTTAGCATAATGGAGAATTTCGAAGGGTTGAGGGCACTGGAAACTCAAAGCACTGGAGGACTTTGCAGGATGGAGGGCATCACAGGATTTTGCCTCTGGAGGATAATGGAGGATCCAGGTTAGCAGACCCCAACTGAGGCTGGATGGAATTGGAGGATTGAGGCTCTGGCTGGTTTAGCAACCAAAGAGAAAAAAAAAACTATTTTGGAGGATTCAGGCTGTTACTTGCTTTATGCATGTATGCTTGGGCAGGCATCTAGCATATACCTCTTTATTGTACAGCCCCTTCACTCCTATTATTTAGGGCCTTGGCATTGCCCATCCACAATACAGGATAACAATGGAGGATTTCAATAAATTACACTGGCTGATGAACTCATGAGAGCATTGAAATTTGATTATGTGATAGCATGCCAGCAAACGCAGTGGAGGATTTTTAAGGATACAGGTAAAATGGATGATCTTGAAGGATTCAGTTACTTAGATTTTAGGTACTTGCTTACTAATATGTAAGCGGGAATTTTTTTTAATTACTTGGATTATGGAGTTTTCATGGCCTGAGGTGGGGGGGGGGGGGGTAGCAGAAAAAAAACAATCCAAACGTGTGGGGACACACACCCCAAAAGTTCGAAAAGCACGTGTGCATCGATTGGTCAATGACATCGACATAGTGGCCAAGTGCAGCTGGTTTCCATCTGTTCTGCTAACGCCCTGCCTTTGATATTTTTGGTGACGGGAACCAGTATACCCAGTGCACTTTGCCTCGACACCACAAGAACACAGTTTTGTGATTACTGACCTTCATTGAGATGATATATGGTGGAAAAAAGTGGCATCAGGATGCAACAATCTTTCCCCCAGACCTAGGCCAGACCAGCTATTGTGTCAATGAATAATCATTAAAATATTGTAAAACTGTTAAAATACTGTTAATGCAACTCACCATCAAACTGGTAATGCATGGTCTGATTGATGCGCTCCGTCACGCTGGACAGCCACTTGATGAAGGTGACAGAGGTGAACTCCCCCTCCTGGGCCGGGGCAGGGCCTTGTTGGGGGTGGTGGAGGGCGTCAGCTGATTCCGCTTTGTGGCTTGCTTCTTGGCCGGCGAGGCGGCACTCTCTTGTAGCGTGAGGAGGGCACTACTAGCCTGAGCTGTATGTGTGAGTATATAAAATGGGCAATTCCATGGTGACTCACGTTACATTTAGATGGGGTCTGAAGTCATTTCTGTGCTGTTATTCTATAAAGTCAAAGCCTTTACGGTGGATTTTTCTCACAGAAGATCCTTTGAAATTAAGTGACTAAACTACCAAAAGAAAAAGGCCAAACACAAAGTAAACTTCTGTTGGTTTGGCAATAGCTTTTTATCAGTAACTCGCGTTACCAAAAAAAAGAACATGGTGACATTTTAAATACCCTGTTTTTGAAAGTTTCCTGATACTGTGCACCGATGGATTTGAATGCCCTTACATACAGTGGAACGCTGCTATACCGAACACCTCTATACCGAACATTCGGCTATACCGAACATCATCCTTGGCTCCCGGTTTTAATGTACAAAACGTACCGAATGTTGTTGTTGAAAAAAGTACACAGATTAACAATGAAAATCTACCGGTTGTACACATATGTTGAAGAGCGATAGATGACTATAACTTCCCCAAGGAATAGAAGGGAAAACCACCCATTGCTAAAGTTTCGTGACGACTCCTCGTGCGGCCGCGGGATGTGGGAAATGCAACTTCACTATTGGTCAAAAGAGGGTACCGGCGGTTCAAAGTCGCTATACCGAACGATCGTTATTACGAACACTTTCTGTGGATCCAATGATGTTTGCGCGCGCTTGGCCGAATACAAATGAACGAACTACTAACAGAAAATTTCCAACGATGCGTCTTTAGAAGCATCGTTGGAAAGGCCTTCTTTCGTTGATTTCTTCAAAATGACAGCCTGCCAGAAAGAATAATTTCACAGGGAGTTTAGTCCCCTTACTATCTTTCAACCAAGTATGTTTTTCAACACTAATTATGTCGGTTACTTTTTAGATAGCTGCAAATGATGGACTGTAGCTTTAAAAAATAATAATAAACATGTTAGTGCGGAAGAAAACTAACAGAGTTTATACTGGGTTTATATTGTCAAGAACAGGGCATTAGATATGCACGTAATGGACCGATAGGGAGATGGGAAATTCAAACCGCATGAAAAAATGCAGCACGTTCTTGATGCTCCTTACCTAGCATGTCATCCTTGCGATGTATCTTGACCAATAAATTAGGGTTGTTCTCCTCTGTAATCACCTGGTCTAGCTGGACTGGCTCACTGAGTACGGCCATAGTTGTTGTTGACACTGAGAAAAAGAAGGCACATCATCAACACCACTAAAAGTTTCATCTCAAATTTTACAGTAAGCGAAGTTTCATCAAGATCTAAATTTTCTGTTTATAAATCTTGAGTTAACCTTACCGTTACAAAGTTAACAGAGAAATTTATTTTGGCATGATTTTCCGATTTCATTTTGAAGTGCACAAACAATTCTCGAATGTTGACTTGGGATTTTCTGAGATTTGTTCAAGTATGCCACATTAAGGAACACTTGGGTGATTTTGTGCCTAATTTCCGGACTCCACCGTTTTTGAATTTCGAATTGAATTTTATGTCACTGAAATTGTTCACAAAGGTTCAACGTACCGTGCCAGTATTTTACTGAAATGAATTTGAAGTTTGTCAATAAAGAGGTTAGGCAAAAACTGCATGGGAAAAGTCGAGGGAAACGTCGAAGAGCGCCCTTGGGCAAGGCACTTTGTCACTCATTGCTTCTCCCCACCCAGGAGTAAATTGGGTACCCGTGAGGGCAGAGATGGTATATTGTGGTTGATTTAAGCCTCTTTGTGCCAAAAATGGCAGCATCAAGCTGTAAACTTCCCAAGGAGCCGATATGGTCTTTGGAATGTTTCACTGGCCCGATAAGCAGGGGTAATATTGACTCATGTACAGCACCTTGTATGAAATGCGATTGATAAGCACGGTTTATTAATATTATATTTCTGCTTCTTATTAGTAATATTTTCTTAGTAGATTCGGCCCTGACTTTTATCATCTTACCAACAGCGTCCAGATTGATGAAAAACTCAAATTCTTTGGCTAAAGCGTCGTCACTTGCGAACGCACAGATGCAGGCGTAGAAGTGCACGCAGCGCCGCTGAAGTTCTTCCCCAGGCGGGGCCCTGTAGTTCCTGAAATGCCGACAGGTGCACTGGAACTTGTGCTCCGTGGTTCCGTTCTTGCGCTGGCTCTCCGTGAAGGAAAAATGCAGGAAGCCCAGCGGGTTCTTGGGCTGGACTTTGCACTTGACCACCATGACGTTCTTACTGACCCGCTGGACCAGAGGGCCCGTGGTTTCCGTGGCTAGAAGCCAAATGGCCTGCTTGATTTCGTTGGACACGGGCAGGCCGTTCAGGACTGAGTTCTTGAGCGTCAGGGGCACGGCTTCCGTTTCGCTCTCCAGGGCCAGTCGGATGTGGTTACAGTTCAGGATTTCCGTAGCTGTTGGGGCGGCGGTGGCGTCCGTGGGCTTCTGACAGAGATCCACGTAGCAGCGGGCTCCTTGCAGGACCTGACCCTGGAGGTCCATCAATGGGTGCAAGGGTAGCTCCACGAAGCCCCTGTAGTCCGGCCCGCGGTCCCTTAGCCTGACCGAGTACACCTGGACCGTCGACCCTGTGATGATCTTCACTGCGTCGGCGCTGTGTCCTTTCTTCCTGCCCGCCCCTCGCAGGACCATGTTGCAGGCCTTGTTCTTGCAGCTCAGGCCCCGGATGCCGTTGTAGAAGCCACAGTTGGGGCATTTCTTCACGCCGCGTAGCGTTGGTTTGCCAAGGTCCTTCAGCAACTCCTTTGCTTTGACCGTTGACTTGTCTTTATTTGCCAGGGCCATTCTCACACACCTAGCAGAACCCTACCTGAAATCAAAAAGAGACTTCAGATTAAAATTATTAAGTAAAACACCATGGTTGATGACAGTGACAGATCTTTGTGATTGATTAAAATGTTTGTCAGTCCCAATGTTTAATTTTTTTTTTTTAATTATTTATCTGCAATCATGATGGTGGTACGGGATATTTTGCAGAACTGTGCAGAAATATAATAAAGTAAAAATTAAAAAAAAAAATGAAACGATACCAAAACTTTTATGGCCACAAGCAGTAGCGGGAAAAAATTCAAAATCATACAGCACTGAAAGTTGAGTTGTCCCAACGGATGACTTGTCCTGAAGTGACCCCCTTTTTTTTGCTCAAATACCAGACTTCCTCGGTATTGTGAGCCACACACCAATGAATGCTAGTAAATATCCTGAGAAGTTGTGTTTCAAGCGTTTGAAATTAAGATTGTTTTAAACTTGATATTTGCTATGGTAACTACTCATCTGGTAAATATCCAAGAAAAATCAAAAGGTCCAAGGAGAATGCGCCTTGACCTCCAGAAAAATATTGCATTCATTTTTCGACAAACTCTCTGCTAATTGTGCCTGAAAATTACAAGATAGGCCTAACTACTTAACTGGACATCTAGCGGTACGTAATTAATTGTTTTCCCCCACTTATTAACCAGGAGAGTATCTTCTATAGTGAATATCAACAGTCCTGATTTTGATTTCCTTGACATAATTTTTCCGCACATCAATGCCTGCGTAATAAGGTGTTTCACGGTAATGTGCGCCATCTTGTTCGCGGGGCAAAAAGAACACATGATGATTTGGAAGCGCCAAAACTTTCCAATGACGATGCGTACACAGCAATGCGTGTAAAATTGCCCTGCGGGCAAGATGACGCATATTACTGTGAAACACCTAATTGGTGTGTGGCTCTCAATATAGAGAAAGTCCAGTATTTGAACCACATTTATTTTATTGGACTTTACAAGAAAATAAAGTGGCAGTGGCACACGAAAAAACCTGTGGAAAGATTCCCATACCTGGCCACACATTCACTCATTTTTCCCTGCAGTGACCAGCCATCAGAAAGTGTATGTCCTAAAAAAGACAAATTTAGCAGGGAACATATTGAACTTTTTTGAAGCATTTCCTGAGAAAACATTTGGCAATTTTCAGACCAGCCTCATTTGGGTGACAAGTGATGTCCACGTACGGTAGGGCCTATGGATATCTTTCCCAACCGGCAGTGACCGGTTCTTTTATTTTAATTTAGCCTCTGAAGAAGAACTTGCTAAGTTCGCAACGTCAGGCCACATTAATTTTTAGATTTAATTTATTATCTTAATTTTACGTGCAAAATAAACAAAAAGTCTCCTTTAAAAATTGAATTGAGACTTCAAACTTCGCTGGTGAAGTACTTAGGACCTTGTCTTTACTTTATGAAATTTTTGGAGAAATTTGTCCTCTGAAGAGTGAGTAAAGTTAGCCTGAAGTGAATTAGTTTTGCACGCTTTTTTCTGCACTAAGTCAAGGTGCCAGCATGCAGCACGTATTTTATCCAAAGCCTTAGCCGGCCAGTTTCCGTTCCTTCAGCGCATGAAAGAAGTAACGGAGGTAAAAATTTAACATCTAACAAACAGAGAGCAACTTAAAAATAGACTCACACCATATATACCTTCTTAATCAATACTTCGGCATGAAACGTGCGTACACCATACCCTAAATCAAACGAATAATTACATATTTTGAGTCACTGATTCGAGTTTTGGTCCTCACATCGCCGCCATGTTGGTAAGAAATAGCGCGACGACAGCGGTAAAAACGCAGAATTTGATTGGTCAATTTTCGTCACATGCTACCCTTGATTTCTGACGTCAATTTCAATTGGGTACCCAAAAATTAATGTTTACACAAAGTTCACAGAGCCGCTTTTTATGCTTAAAAAAGGTTAGCGGGAAATCAGCCAAAAAAGCTCAAGATCTTGCAACGCATCACCAATCAACACGGAAGAAGTAAATTTCATTACCACATTTGTTTATACCATGGAGCTATAAACACATACATAATTGTTTCAACCAACCTCAAGCCCCCCCCCCAAGAAAAAAATTAAAGGGGAGAAGACAAACATTTACTTGTACAAAAACTCGATCCAGCTGCCCCCCCCCCCGCCCAAAACCCGGCTGCCCCCCCCAGTGGCGTCGCCAAGGGGGGGCCAGGGGGGGCACGTGCCCCCCCTGGAAAACCTAGTGCCCCCCCGAGTGCCCCCCCATCTGAGATTTGGGTTGGTAAAAAAATATATATATATTTTGTTATATTCAACTCCCATCATCTGAGTTGGTTAAATAGCAATTTCTGGAGATATCTTCAGATCGAATTTAGCATCAAATGCAAGGGCAGATCCAGGGGGGGGGGGGGCCAAAGGGGGCCATGGCCCCCCCCCCAAACGAAACCAATTTTTTTTTTTTTATGTGACATCGCAATAAAGGCAGGCAATGAGTACACCACCATCTTTTCCTCAAAAAAAACATTGGTTAAAGTGGTCAGAAATTGCCTCAGATCGCACCACAGAGCATCTAGAATCCAAAAATTTTTGGGGAAACCACTTTTTTGGGGGACCAAAATTTTTTTGGCCCCCCCAAAAATTGTGTTCTGGATCCGCCCTTGATCAAATGTGGCACCATTTTGCATCTAGCCCATTCTCCGTATGTGAAAATTTTCCAAAGGGGAGGGGGCACCCCCTCCCCTTAGACCCCTCCCCCAGGACGGCGATCCGTATCCACCTAAGTGCCCCCCATCAAATGCTGGTGCCCCCCCCCTGTGCCCCCCCAGACTGAAAAGTCTGGTGACGCCGCTGGCCCCCCCCCCCCCTAATACAAATTTGACATTGTCATTGTTGACTAATATTGGCGAGAAAGCGTATTTAAAAGAACAAAATAGTGATAAGTAAGCCAGCACATGTATTTACCATCAAACATTCAATGCCAAACAACAACCAAACCACCTCGGCCTCCCCCCCCCCCCAAAAAAAAAATATCAAAGAATTTTAACTGGCCAGCTTTTACTACCACCATGATGCAACCCAGAAACACTGGGTTTCGAAAACTGATGTCAATATTTGGAAAGAAAAACAAAAGATCAGGTTCAACAATAATCTAGATTACCGTGTCTTCAATAGCGAGATTAAAAGAAGTTCCCCCAGTGTGCAATGGAACATTCCAAGCTGTCTGACATGACAGCTTTAAATAGCACTTTGCATATTGCCTTCATGGGACCGGGAAATGTCATGCGATCATGTCTGCCTGCTTGTTGTCACATACGCACACAAAATACAAGCATAATGTTGTAAACAAGAGGCGTACTTTGTACCATTTTGTACTTTTTCCGACCAGGCTTAAATCTTTAGTACCAGACGAACAGCCATGGTGACCTTCAGAGAGATCGTGCTTTCCTTTAGCCTGTTATTTTGCCATCTTTTCGGGGCCGAATGCAGGATCTATGAACCCAACGCGAGATTACTGTACGGACAGACAGATGCTGTGTTGGTCTTCCCCGGAGGCGTCCTTGAGGACAAAAATTTCGGTTTCGGAAGAGAGGGTTTGCTGGATTTTGAGCTCGAGTGTGAACCAACAACACACGTAAGGACCGCTGTTTATGTTGCTTTATTTTATTCTGATCTTAATAGATTTTTTGTCTCGTTTTACATTAAAAAAAAAAGATTGAACGAGTATTACAAGTTGTTATTTACTATTTATTATATCAGGCTTCCAGTAGCTGGAATTACCCAGCTCTAAATTTTATCATTGGGTTGTCGAAATGACAACCCAATGATAAAATTTAGGGCTGGGTAACTCCAGCTAGGTTTCCAGTGATAAAAATAAATCAGCGTATTGTGTGCTTCCGTAAAGACTGCAATATTATCAATATGTCATTGTCAGTTAAAGTACCCAGATGACTTCAGTGTTGTTTTTGATATTGTCCTCATCTGGGCATTTTTGCTGTTTCCCGCATAATCAAGAGTGTAGAGACTCATCGTTGTCAACCAGTGCAGTCAAGCGTAGCGCGCGGTAGTCTACTGGCACACGCGGACGCAGCGCGCAGCAGGGTACATGCAGTATAGAGAGTCCCAAATTTCCGGACTAGGTATACGCGCACTGTTGTCAAAAACCACAATGCAGCTTCGAGTGGCGCAAAAGTTGCTTCGGTAAGTGAAGAATAATTCCACGAAACTTGACAAATAAAGACAGTGTTAGGACTGGGCGAATAGTGGATTTTTCTACTCGAGTACTCACAAAGAAATTATTCACCAGTAGTCCAGTACTCGCAAGTAGTTAACCGAATTCCCATAAAAGCAGAAAATAAGATATACGTTAGTACGACGTGAAGTAACTTACAAGCAAATAGCGTGCAAGTCACACCACATTCTTCAGCGCTGAGATATCCTTACTGTTCGACATTTTGGGTCATTTACTTGAATTTTTATTTTTTTGGGTGGACAAATGAATCCCAAGGAGGGAGATGTGGAAGTACTGACTCCGTGTTTGCAGGAGACGTATTAAGCCGTGAACCCTAAACCCTATGCTTACGAATGCTTTTGCCTGCTTCTACTGGAGCCAGGACGAGTACTCGAGTAGATGAAAAACCACGAGTAGAACGAGTAGCATAAACGAATCGCTAGTACTTGGGTAATCGAGTTACTCGCCCAGTGGAAGACAGTGTCCTGAAATTTATTTCTTACGGATCAAGTCAGTCTGATAATATTGGATGGCTTTTTGTTCATGGAACACAAGAATATAATGCACTCGCTATAACAATATGGCATTCGTCTTCGACTCGTGCAATATTTTTATAGCTCATGCAATATATTCTTGTATCCCCCTCAAAGCCATCCAGTATTATATATATTTTTAAAGGGGGGGGGGTTAGGTTGCAAATTTACGGCAGCACATTAACGATACAAATTTTCAGTGCTATATGGCTAGTGTTTGTGCCGACATATTCTCAACCGCAGAAGACCTAGACTTTATTAAGCTTTATAAATCAGACAGGTTTGGCTACGATATTCAAATCTATGTCACACACAGACTGTGTCACAGAGTTTAGTCTAGTGTGTGGCCATAGAATGGGGCTTGCATCTGTCAAAAGGCACATGTCTGATGAGACATGGATTTTTTTCAACGTTGCTATAATTTTCCCAAAGGTCTCACAGTTTTCCTCTTTTTTATCTGTCATCTTACTTACAGTGACTTCTACACATGTACTAACCATTTCTCCAGATCTGTACAAGAATTAGCCGATGTTCAATGTCTATTTTCCTACTAAAACTTGTATGTTTTGTTATTGCACAGCATTCGTCGTCTTAATTGTGTCATTCAATGACGCAAGCTGGAATAAAAGTTCCGAGTGTAAAGACTCTCATTTTCCTTTTTATTATCTTTCAGAAAAACTCAGAGATCCCAACCCCCAATTTGTGGCTTCTTGGATGCACAGCATTAGAGAAAAGAGAGGTATGACATTTGACTGTGGTAGGTGGCATTTTAAGCAAACTAACAAGGAGTGTGACTAGGGAAGACTTTGAGTAAAGGGTCAATCTTTTCAAAAAGTGGGACATTTACCAGCCTAGTCTTAGGCTTCACTGAACCACTTGGCTTCACTGTCAGCATGGTCAGATGCAAAATGTTGAGGAAGAGTCTTCTTAAAAATTGAAGTGAGACTTCAAACTTGGCTTTTGAAATACTGAAGATCTTGTCTTTGCCTCATGAATTTTTTGAGGAATTTTGTCAACTAGAAAGTGAGTAAAGCTGGCCTGATTTTATTTTGCATGTTTTTCTGCACTCGAGGTCCCAGTCTGGGGTCTGTCTTGCAGTTGACTGGTACTGCATTCGCTTCTTCAGTCCTGCAAATTCCAAAAACCACCAGGTGGAGTGCGAAAGATCTGGTCAAATCAAGGGATAATAATGTGTGACACGATTGTACACGATTCAAGGTATTGAAACACCATCAAAATCTGTGAACCATCTTTCTCCATCTGTGCGTAGATTGTGGAAGTGGGCCGCACCGGTCTGAACCAGGCCTGTCAGAAGCTCCAGTACCCACAAGGGGCTGAGAAGAACTTCACCATGCTGTGCCAGGCCATACCCATGGAGCCCTTCGCCCCGTCGCAGCATGGCAACTACTGGAGGGCCCACCACAGCTTCCACAGGGACGCGTTCCTGAGGTTCCTAATGCTGCAGTGTCCGCGGGAGGTGCCCAATAAGACCAGGACTAGGGTTGCTGAGGCTCAGTGCAAGGTGATTGCTACAGGCCATAGAGCTATGTTAAATGATTAGGGAGCTATCTTGAGTCGGCCTCGAGTGCATCCATACCGGTAATTGTGCACAAACTTGTGGCATCCAGGTCTTTTCATCCATTTCAATATTATTGAAAGTTGAGGGGGTACTTGTGCACGGAGGCCATAGGCTACCAAGGTCTACCACGTACATGTACCCACTGTGTTCATCTGCTAGCCTGGTTGTGATTGGTTAAAAGTAATTTGAGGGGAGGGGCTTAACGACTCCCTCTATTCATTCATAGGACTATGTCAATCTTGTCTTTTCATTCAGGGGAGACTGGTGTTGATGAATAGCAATGGGCGGAGCCACCTGAGCCAGGATGAGGGGGCCCTGCTGCCAATCTACAAGGTGCTGCTGATGTTGTGGGTCATCCTGCTTGCCCTCTGGATTGCCAATTGGCTCAAGTTCAGACAGGTATGTACATTTGCCAAAAAATGCTTGTATTTCTCAACACATTCTCGATTTATCAGTTTTAGAGGGGGGCAGGGACATTTTGCCCCCCCCCCAACTCATTAAATTTACACCACTTTGTCTTCGCGCCTCTTTTTTTTTTTTTTTTTTTTCTTCCTTTTTTTTTTTTTTTGCTTTTCCAGGGGGGGGGGGGGCAAGTGCCCCCTTGCCCCCCCCCCTCGCGACGCCCATGGGTATGTAGCCATAGGGCCTCAAATGAACGATATTCCACAGAGCTGTCTAGACCTCACTAGTCAATAAAAAGTCAACTACAATCAGGTATTCCAGCTGTGCATGTGCATATATCACAGGCTTTCAAGGATTCCTACTTTTCCAACTTTTTCCTATTTTTTTTTACCTTGCTCCTACTTTTCTTGCTTATTTCTTGAAATTCCTACTTTATCTTACTCTTTTTGCCCCATAACTCCGAAAAATGAAATCTCTATTTTTTAATTTACTCATTATATTCTATTCACACAGTATTCCAACCACCTTCACAAGTTACTCTTCGTTGCCCCATCATTCAAGTTCCTCCTGTTGACATTGACGCTCGTGAATTGGGAAGTTGTCGCAGCTACAGGTAGATTATTTTCCCTTGTCAAAGGACACAACCTCAAGATGCACTTGATGTTTTTTTTTTACAAAAATAAACTTTGTTTTTCTTATTTGGGGAGGGGAGCCAGACTACCCTGTGAGAAACAAGTTATTATCAGGCCGTAATCAATTGGAAACTTGTAATTATTCCATAACTAAAATGTGGATGGATCCTTTTGGTTTTGTTTTCTCATTCAAAAGTGAATGACTTTTGACTTGTAGAAAATATCAATTTAATAGAAATCTATATTTTGGTTTCGAAAGTTGGACATAGCATGGACATTACACGCATGTCAACTTTTGTGGACACATGTCAGACATTGATTACGGCTGTGATTGGTCGAAATACCATTGGCCAGGGCTTATTGACTTTGGGCTTTATTGAACCAGTTCACGCCGGAGGCCGTGATAACTGGCATTTTTTGTACACAGGCACGGTTGACAGATTAAGACATCAAGATTGCCTCGACTCGCCTTCAGGTGACGTCTAAACACACTAATCCCCCGTGCCTTTTGTACACACACACAAAGTCTGTGTAATCTGTTATGAGGCGGACCGTGTGCTGACCGTTGTGCACGGCATATTGTGGTACAATTTACGCTCCAGTGCACACCCCGGAGTATTGAAACATATGAGGTTTCAGCAAGAAATATCGTACAAATACTGTTGAAATGACTCTTGCGAATCAGTATTTGTGGCGTTTAGCTGTAACTCAGAAGTTGGGTGGGAAATTTTGCCTTTTGAAAATTTCAAAATTTTCGGCAAAAATAAACCCATCCCGAAGTGGTTCAGACTACTTAGAATAAAGGAACATGCATATTATGTTTAAAAGCTACCAATGAAATCTAAGAAGCGGCAGGGGCATTGCCCATCTTATATGACGTCAGATGACTGTAAAAAGAGCACATTTTCTGTCAATGATGCCTGGTGTTGTCTTTGATTGGTTTTGTAGGATATGAGAATGTATCACTCCAGATGTGTCAAGACATGGTGCAGAGCACCGAGATTGCCATGCTGTTCATGAGTATGATGCTGGCTGCGGAAGGCTGGTGTGTGCTCAGACCGCTAATCAGGAATATACGCTGCGTACTCATACCAGGTGAATATGCTGCAGAGTAATGTGCAAATACTGTATACCGCCAAGAACATTCTATGAAATGTTTTAAGGATGTGACATTATGTACACATTGATGTACAAATTATAATCCGGAGATTGCGAACTTGTGTGGTTTTGATTGTTTACTGTAACCATATGTCAGGCCTTCTGGTAAAATGAGATGCAACTATGTAGGCACAGACCGTAGTGGAGAAAATGCAAACAAAAAACGAAGGGGGAGGGGGTGATTTTTTTCACTTTTTACATTGATAGTTGTGATCTTTGATATGCCTAATACACATATTTAAAAGAAGAAGTATTAAAACAGCTGTGGAATAAAAGTGTTTTAAGGAAAAACTATTGACATTCTTTCACATTCATGACTACAAAATAGTCCAAACTTTAAAGGCATTTTTTTTGACATGTCAATATTATGCTAACTTTAAACAGCCATATCTTGTCAATGGATTGTCTAATTGAAGTGCACCCAAAATTATTGCAAAGAGACGTTATTCCCTTTCCTAGTACCGGCAAACCCTCATTTCTAAATCTGTCCAGGTCCGTCTCATTTTTCCAGAACGCCTCGCATATTTCGAATGTCTAGCTCACAAGAAATCCACATACCATTGTTGTAAAATATATCCAACGCAGCAGTGATTTGTTTTGCTGGTACATATTTTAAGCACAGGTGTAACAGGGGGGGGGGGGGGTTGCAGAGTGGCAGACTGCAACGGGCTAGAGATTTTAAAAGCAAAATCGGAATGCTGCAGAGTAAAATTGGGACGTCGAAAATGGATTTGAATGCACAATTGGGGTCGTGAAATCCTCCCGAGTCGTATTTGTTGGCAAAATTGTCCTGCTGTCGGCAAAATCATGTGCCTGTCGGCAAATGTGCCGGGATGAATAGCGCCACCTATTGTCCGATAGCATCCATGTTCATCAGCTTTCAGCCACAACCCCTATTATATAGGAAGATGGTGTCTAGTGCTATCACCCCACTCCCCCCTCCCCTGCTTTTTTATTTTACTGAGGTCGGGTGGTTGGGGGGGGGGGGGGGAATGCTGTCAGTTTTTCCGGCAAGGATGCCCTGTCACCAAATGTATTGGGACATAAATTATATTTTTCAACGGGCAATCAATACGCTGGTGACATGACTGTAAGCACTAAATAATTGTAACCCCAAAAAAGGAGGCTAAACCATTTCCCTAATAACGTGACTCTGAATTTGTCTATTGCAGTATTATTCCTTGTGTTCCTTGGTTCCTCGATATGTGTCATCTGGGTGCATAATTACTTTATGGTAAGTACAGATGTGTGTTTCATTCAGTTGGCTTATCAGTTTGGAAAGACAGGTCATTATTGAATTGAAGGCACGCTTTGAGATAACTTCATAAATAATTGATAACTTGTTAGATAACTTGTTATATGGGTCACCATTTTTACCTGTTTTGGATTCTGTCAAATGAAATTCAATGCGTTTTTGGTCCTGATTCTTGGATCTTAAGAAGATGTTTCTGTCCCGTGTTTTGTATCAGGATGCAATATTCTTTCCTAATTTGTTTGAACACTGTATTTCTCACAATTACAACAGTATTAATTTGTATCAATCTGATTACATTGACAAAAGTAACAAGATTTTTGATAAACAAGATTTTTGGAAGACCAATAGAGTGCAGATTTCATTTTTATTTTCTTTCATTCAAAAAATGTCATCTCCCATACTTAAGTTTAAGTGTGCTTGGAGAAATTAAACAGAAGTTTTCAGCAGAGCATGGATATGTTTTCCTGTGAGAGATGACAGTTTGCCCTTTTTTCCTCTTTCGGTTACTAGGCATTTGCCGTATGTAGCATCATCTTTGTCATCTACCGCGCCCTCAAGTGGTGCTCCTACAATCTGGACTACCTGACGCGCCAGCTTCTGCGCAGCATGCGCTACATCCAGGAGAAGCGTCTGCGCTTCCGCGGCGTCAGCATCCTGAAGCAGCTGGCGGAGAAGCGCAACATCTTCGTCCGGCTGCGGCTGGTCTGCGCCATCTACACCATCGTCTTCGCCGTGGTGGTCACCATGTCCACGTTCCTGACGGAGTACGCCTGGGCCCGGACGCTGGCCTCGGAGCTGCCCGAGATTGCCGTCTTCACCAGCCTGGGGCTGATCTTCAGGCTCCGGGACTTCGGGCCGTTTGAGAACATTGAGGTCATTCAGCCCAAGGAGAACGCGGTGATTGTCCTGCTGCCGTTTCCAAGCAGAAGGTGGCCCTGGCAACAAAAAATAGCCCTTGGGGAGCCTACGGAAAGCTCGACAGACTATTCCGATGATGATGATTATGAGGATGATAAGACATGAAATGTTAAGCCGGAAACGGCCTCCTTACTAAAATAGCAACTCATAGTCTGAAAACTTGGTGGATGTTACCAGAGCCATTATGTAGAAGCACAATTGTCATATCAGCGATCAACGTTTTGGATTCTCTTCAGTTCCCGGTGTTCAGGTGGTATTACACTTCATGATCAAGGACCAGTCATTCTACCCTAACCTTCCCAAACCCTCTAAAATCCTCTTTGCAAAATGGAGGATTTTGCAGGATTGAGGCTATATGGCAAAAGTGTGTGGCTGATTTTGAAGGATGCACCGTGTCAAGGTCTTGGGCCGGACCTTGTGTTGTTTATGCTCAGCCATGCATAAATTTAGGCCTATGTTATACTTGAAATCCTCCGCACTGCTCCAGGATGTCACTGGCTCTGCCTCAACATAATTGACAGTGATTGCTGGAGGATTTTGCAGGATTGAGGCAGTGGTCACCCCTCCAAGGACCACATTCAAGAAATAACGGAGGATTTTGCAGGATTGAGGCTGTATGCCTAGAAAGTTAGGGTTAAAAGTGAGTACCACCTTCAACCAACATATCTCACAGGCACTGAAGGCTAGGGGCTTCCTCAAAGAGTAAAAAAAAAACAGCGAGAGGAAAGTGTCATACACTTATCAGGGTGAACTCGACCCCTCAACTCGCCCTCTAATGCAGGGCTCTTGCCATTCCACAACTGGGGTTGGCCGGCTGGTTCCAGTCTGAGCAGGCTACCAACTCTATCATGAAGGCCCCCTTCAATGGCGCAAGCATTGTGCTCGTCTAGAGTAGTGGATACTACTATTGATGACTTTGTAGGAATGTAAAAAAAACAGGCTGAAGGGAATTTAAATTTCTCTTTTTTTCCCCCTGGCAAATGACCTGGTCACTTTGTCGTCCATACCCAGAATGTGCATATCAAAAGATTGATTTTTGATGCACAGTTTGCTCCTTGCACTTTGCCTTTGAAACCACTATATATATCATGCCATGCAAAATGATTAATCTCATGTTATTTTCTAACCATGTTAACCAGTTAACCAGGGGCGTAGCCAGGATTTTTGAAGTTGGGAGGGGGTGGTGCAGGGGGAGGTGCAGGGGTGGGGAGGGGGGGGGGGCACAGGCACGTTATGCAGGGGTAGCAAGGTTGAACCCCAAACCAGTGGCACAGACTGGCCAGGCAAGTGCTGCAAAGGTGAATACTGGTGTGGGGAGGGGGTTTGGGGGGAGGGGGAAGCCTCTTTTGGCACTAGAGGGCACACTTTTTATCTTGCAATTTATTCACATTTCGCAAAGCTGTAGGGTCTATGGGAAGAAAAAAAAAGTCTAAATTCCTCTTCTGTTTAATTAGTCAAAAACATACTTTTAAAAGACACTTCCTTGGCAAGCAGCAAATTCATTTTTTTTAGGGAGGCACTGGAATTTGTGAGGGGCAAGTGCCTTCCCTGGCTCCCCCCCCCCCCTACCCCTTGCTATGCCACTGCATTTAACGCCGGAGGACGTGTAAACGTGATCTTGCAATGTATATTCACAGGTTCGGGTGACGGGTTAAACTATCAAGCTTTCCCTGAAACTCCTGCACCGGACGTGTATATGGACGTGTCAGTGGTTCCCGTTGTGTTTTGTATACACCTAATGTTGAACTTGAACTTGGCCGTCGTACAAGGCCTGTCATTGTAGCAAATATCACTCCATGGCGGGAACCCCGGAGTGTTACAAAATATGAAATTACTGTGATAAGTATCTTACAAATATTGAATACATGACTGTCAAGAGTCAGTACATGTACTTGTGGTGTTTTGACTTGATTTTAAAATTTGGCCAATATATTTTCTCTTTTTCAAAAATGATGTTTTTCGGCCAAAAATAATCCCATCGCCAAGTGGTTAGAGTATACTACTCTCTTTGTCCTTAAATTTCCCAAAAACAGATTGCAACATATTGAACATCACTGTAAGAGTATTTTTCCCCCTATTACCCTGCACGATAATTTACATGATATTACCCTGCACGGTTTTATTCGTTTGGGTGTATTCACATTATGAAACCACATAACTGCTGATATACCGGTATATATATATATATATTGTAAAAATAACTTATTATATAGATATGTGAAAATACAACTCTTGCAATTAAACGGCCAAACGTTGTTTTACATAATTATTTTTACATTTTTTGCAGTACCATTGAAGATACACTAATAAGCATGCTTAAAACGCTTTCACATATTTAGATATTTTGCATGGGAATTAGTTATTGAAATGTAAAATCTTACACTGATCTTTTTTTCAATTCTCAATGTTTTCTGCAATCTTGTATGTGACTTTTATGTGCTTCGTGAAGATATTTTTCTAATCTTTATTTGTTTATTATTTTTTTTTAAGAATTCAAAATTCTCATGACATGCTCCGCATACATTCGTGTACTTAAATTCTTTTGTATTTGGGTGCACTTAGTGACACATTGAATGTGCATGTACTGTTCCTTTTTAATTTTTAAGTAAACGTATTATGGAATACAAATTCTGAAGAAAAAAAAATTCAGGGCATCTTTTTAATAATGCCTGCAGAATTGTAAAAATGATAAATTGTGCAATAGTCCTAATTTTAAATATTCAAAAAGTCGAACATTCATCTTTTTCCCAACAAAATGAGCTGGATGTCACTTGCTACCCTTAAGTAATATAGGCCTTTTTTTCAATAAACAAATCTTGCATTATGTAAACTAACAGGAGCAATCAATGTTTTAACCCATAACATTTTTACTTTAAATTTAAAGGTAGAGTCCATCATTTGTCGTTAGTGCGTTTGTTTCGTTTGAAGCAACAAAAGTGCTCAAAATCTAAAGACGGGTGCTGAACAACTAACCTGATGAAGTTTCAGCTCAGTGAATGCTGTATTCCGAGAAAACAATATTCTAGTATCTCGACTTCAATTCAAAGTTGCCAAGTCATATTTTCAATTGCACACGAAATCAGCAGCCAGAACACGTTCTCATTCAACCGATTGCAGCTACGCAATGCCACACACTAAACCGAAAAATAACAGCTACTGTGTGCATCGTGTCAATGCTTGCGCGCACCCATTCACGTATTAGCCCAATTACAAACCAACTACTAATGGAAATTTCTAAAAATGCTTCACTTGACTCATCTTTGGAAATGACCTTCTTTTATTGTTTTCTTCAACATGACAGCATGCCAGAACTAAGGAATAATTTCACAGCTTAGTGCCATTACTATCTTTAAACCAAGTAAAGTTTTTAACAATAATTTGGCCAGTTACTTTTTGGATAGTTGCAAATGATCTACTCTACATTTTATGTGTTCACTTGTGTGTGTTACAAAGGTAAAGCATAGTAGTCTATTCTTTTCTTCTGCTGGGGACAAATATTGAGAAAAAAATCCTTCATTGTGGAAATTTATAGGAATAATCAATATTTTCTCCTATATAGTTTCTACATATATTAAGAGGCTTAAATGTGCTTTAAAAAAATTGTTCACATATTTAATGCAATACTTACCTGCAATTTACGTCACAAAGGGTCACATGATGGACTATTGTTGCTATGGCAACCCTTGCTTCAGGGCTGTTCAGTCTCCTTAGAGGCAGAAACAAAAGTGCACGCAATTCATAGCAAATAGGAACTGGCGGTCTTTGTGTTATTCACTTAAAACACATGGACTTTTTACTATACTGCTTGCTAGTCTTGTTTGCAAGGCTGTGTATATGCTGTACATGTACATTCACTGCCCCCATGTGGTAGTTACAGCTGCCTGTGCTCCGTTGCGACTCCCATATGGGGGCCGGCAGTGCGTGTATATGCTGGACTCTGGAAGGTTTTAGTGGTAAACACTGCCTCAGAGTGGGGCTTAGGGTCGCACAAATCATTCAGCAATTACAAGAGACTGCCGATTCAATATTTATGGATTTTCAAGAGGCATGTTATTCTAATATTTACTTTAAAGGTAGAGTGTATCATTTGTCATTTTTGCATTTATTTTACATTTCAAGCAACAAAAGTGCTCAAAATCTCAAGAAGCTAGGTGCTTAACAACTAAACCTGATAAAGTTTTAGCTCTGTGAATGCTGTATATTCTGTGAAAACAATGTTCTAGGATCTAGATTTCAATTCAGAAGTTGCCGAATCATGTTTTGAATTGCGCCCTAAATCAATGTCTAGGACACCTTCTCATTCAGCCGATTGCAGCTATGCGATGTCATGCGCTGAGCCGACGAATTATAGCAACCGTGTGCGTGTGTGCATCGTGTCAACGCTTGCGCGCACCCACTCACGGCTTAGCCAAATTAAAAATGAACTACTAACAGAAATTTCCAAAGATGGGTCCTAAGAGGCACCTTTGGAAATGACCTTCCTTCATTGTGTTCTTTAAAATGACAGCATGCCAGAAAGAATAATTTCACAGAGTTTAGTGCCATTACTATCTTTAAACCAAGTATGCTTTTCAATTATATTTTGTCGGTTACTTTTTGGATAGCTGCAAGTGATATACTCTACCTGTAAAAGTTATGGTTCTTCACATTTATCCCACCTAGTTTATGTCAGTTTGTTATACATTTGTAACTTATTGTTGGTGTTTATACAAAGAGTTTATTTCCAAACTGCGATAAACGCCATTTTGTTACCGTTTAGAATGCCGCCCTCGCCTGGCTGCCCGAAGTCAGTGTCGACAGCTGTTATATATAGTTAAACGCAACTTAAGAAAACAATAAAGCGTAAGACGAAGTTCACAAACAGCTGTTGTATTGTCTTTATTCTTTACAGTTTCATGACCGTGTAAATGTTTAACTATTTTCAAATGGATATATTATGTGTTTTGGAAATGAACCGTAAATCTAAGAACATGGCAGTGTCGGAGGGTGTGCGGACTAGTGGTTAGTGTTCTTGACTGTCATCAGATGGTCGGGGGTTCAAATCCAGCTGCTGGATGCGAATTTTTTTCCGTAGGCGGGATGCTCCAAAGTCATGCAAAATTCAGTTTTCCTTTGAATTGTTGCAAGACACTTAGGTTCTCGTTCTTTTTTTTTTTCCCCCTTGCAATAAAATTATTTCAAGGATAAATTCAGAGAAGAAAAACAGTCGACGGAAAATGAGCAGCAATGACAGGGATTCGAACCAGGGATCTTTGTATCCAGAGCTCATCATGCTATCCACTAGGCTACTGTGTGGTAGCTCGACGACAACCGTTCTTTAAAATGTTTGAATGTAACTGGTTGACTAAATAACAATGCTCTTGATAACATCGTTCTGTTTCATGAATAAACATACTGGCCTGGTCGTAACTATTGAATCATTCATGACTTTGGAGCATGCCGCCTAGGGAAAAGAAATTCGCCTGCTGGACATTATGTTGTGTCCTTGGGCAAGCCACTTCATCCCCAACTTGCCTCTCTCCACCCAGGAGCATAAATGGGTACCGGCATTAGCTGGGGAGTAACCTGCGATGGACCGGCATCCCATCCAGGGGAATAGAAATATTCTGTGATGGGCCATATTGGCTTGTGACAAATTTACTATTTAATTACATGGCAGTGTAGTTGCGCCATAGATGTCCCATACTGCAATGCTGCGAAGTTGGAGAACGGTAAACAATTAAATTTAACTGCATCAATTTGACTTGAACTGTTTCAACTCTTTATTTGGTTTAATTCAGACCTAGCATAAAGAATTAATAATCTGTGAAGCTTTACAATATAAATATTCACATTTACATATATGCAAATCAGTTTCACAATGTACATGCATGCATTAATCGCATATTCGGTCAAATTAAACCCCCACCCCCCCCCCCCCCAACCCCCCAAAAAATTGGGCACCATTTACAAATGTTAATAAAATTTGTTATAAACTTGTGCTGTTGCAGTTTTTTTACCTACAGTGGACTCATAAACATGTCAAGGAGAGTGCCCATTTCAACTTTAACACCGAACATCGTTTCCATGTAAAGTAATCTGAGATACAGAGCCTGTCATTCCCTAACTATATGTAATAGATTTGTTTGACAAAATTCATTTAAAATTTCTTATAATACAAATAAATTATCGGATCTTACTTTTTACGTTTATAATCACATAAGCATTGAAGTATGGAATACAGAAACAGTTCACTTAAACCAACTTTTTTTTTACTGGCGAATATAAGAAAACAGGCGAAAATACAAATCCTTTGTAAATTTTAGGACGCAAACAAGGTTATTGCAAAATATTATCCAGCTGATTAAAAAGTATAAAATAAAGACAACAGAAATATAACAAATACGCATAACTCTTATGTTTCATTGGAATGTTATACAAAAACAATATCTTTGGCTCAAAATAATTCAAATTATTCAGGTAAGACGGTCCCCCAAAAAAAGAAACGCAAATCATCTGGCAAGAAAGTGCATAATGCTAAATGGTGTATGCCGGGGGCCAGGCACAACTTTCTTCGTCACAAACTACACACACACATACATGTCCATGCAAATGTAAGTTCATGAAATATTGAGAGATAGAATGATTGCATAGTCTCGGGAAGCCCTAAAGAAAAATGCCAGTTAATAATTAGCACAAAGATATAACGCAAACATGAATGGATGACTTCACAACAAGTTTTTTCCACGCTACACATTTGCGAAAGCTGAAAACACATGTGTGAAATGTCACCACAGAATGAGCTTAAAGTCAGACGGCAGTTACAAGACACAGTATTTTGCAAACGGAAACATGCAACGTAAAAGTACATAAATGGCAGATCTAGGTTTTATTAAGATGTCTGTACCATAAACCTGTATACATATGCCATGTAGGCCTTATGCACGAGTTGGCCATTTTTGTCGAGTTCCCTGAATGTCTTTCATAAATTGTTAACTGTTGAATGGGATGGCGCCAGACTATTTATGCAGTCTTATTTTACTGTCATTTTTTTTTTAAATCTGGCTTAAAACATTAGGGAACATTTAATTACAAATTTTAAATTATTCATTGAAGCAGACTTGAATTAATTATTCATTTACTTGCTTTCATTTCTCTTCGCAAGTTCAAAAAAAAGAAGATTTTACCTCACTTCCAATTCAATATGGCCGACTCGTGAATAAGGCCCATAGCAACATTAGCAATGCTGCAAACCTGGAAAATGGCTAACTGTGATCTAATCACTTGGAGAGGATGCGGCTTTTTATTTCAAATAATCAAATCTGCCACAAGGGCGGTCCCATGTTCAAACCCTGCTCCAGTCAATTTCTTTGTTCAACTTTCAATTTTTAATTCACTGACTCTATTTTCAATTTAGTGAAATCTTGCAGGCACCAAACGCAGCATGGAATGCACGATCAAGTTTGACTGAATACTGCTTGGAATTATTCGCCGAAGCTCATGCCCAGCGGATAGAAGACTTCGGCCGTGTCCTCCCCATCCAAATCTTCCCGGAGTCTCTCCGACAGCATGTGGGGCAGGGAGCGGGGCACGGAGTGGTTGATGAACCGTAGAGTCAGCTGATAGAGGAGGGAGCGCTGGCTTGGGGGCTTGCAGATCTCTAGGTGGTTGACGTCCAGGGAATGGTACTCACCATATCCAGGATCTGTTGGGGAAAGTGTATGGCAAGTCACTGGGAGCAATGTTTGGAAGGTCTAGAACAGAGTATGCCCATGTTATACTTTTATAAGTCTATGTACTGCGTGCCAGTGCACAACCAAAAGATGCTTCCTGGCACTTTCTGGCTCCAGTGGAGGGACACATCGTCTGCACGTGCTGGTTCACGCATATTGGGCAGTGTGCACAGGGCTAATACTATATTGATTCTGCACCAACTTGTGATGTCTTTGCGTGAGCGTCAGGCGCCTTCAGCAATGCATTCAGGAGATCTTCCAAGTGGTCTCCCCCAACTCTCCCTATTTAACTATTGAGGGGGTACTTGTCCATAAACTAGGCCAAACTTGAGTTAACTGAGTCAATCCTTACTTGGGTATCAAACAGCTGTTTTCCTTGTAGAGAATTGTGGTCCAATGTTTACAGTGTTCAATGCATGTGTTTTGGTACGTAGGTTCAACAAGAACATGTTGCTTGTGCTCTCGGGCAAGATACTTTACTACAATAGCCACTCTCTCCAGAGTATAAATGGAGTATAAATGGGTATGTGTGAGGGTAGTGACCAGATTACACTGATCTCGAACTACTGCAGCAAACTGGTCTAGTGGCCCGATGAACAGGTGTAATAACTGTGGAGCACTTAGTATACAGCATACATAAACACCACATTATTAATGTTTTACCAACTAATACTGAATGTGCCCATCTTACGTGAGGATTCGACAGGAACCACGACTGTCTTAACCCCGAGCCCAATACTCATGGGCTTGGTTTCGCCGAAGCTGAGCACGGGCAGACGTCTCATCTGCACAAAAGCCCGGAAACGGCCGTGAAGATTCTTCAGGGAGGGGGAATCTGATTGAAAAAGGGACAGAAAATATAAAAAAATAGCAATTTTTCAAAGGGAATTTGCGGATTGGAAATTCTCTTATGTTCCCTTTGCTGTTAAAGAACTACCAAAGAAAACATGGGGATATTAAAGCTCAGAGTATGACTACCTTGCCATGAGTACAAGTACAAGGCAACTTTTTCCACGAGTATGAGTAAGAGTATGAAGTATAATTCCATGAGTACCGGTACCTCATTGAGTACGAGTACATTTCTATGGGTACATACGCTCCCAAGGATATTTTGCTGTCAAACTAGGCATTAGATAAATGTGACCTACTGAGGCAAAATCAGGATTGTCCCCCAAACCTTGTTTTGAATAAGCAGCGCCCGAAGTCGGATATACTAGAAAATTATGTCAAAATCAGCATTGCTTTTTTTGTATTTTTGAGTAGCCAATGTATTCAAGATTCTCATTTTGCATTTGTTTGAGGAAAAAATAGCCCTAAAAGTGGAAAAACTGAAGAATGTTTTTCATTGCCATTGGCGGCGCAATACGTATTATTTTTTTCAAAGCTGTTTTTCTCGAAACGAGGTCAGCAAAGTTCGGCGGAACACTGTTGAAGTTCCTGCTGCGTATCTTTGGAATAAATTAAGCTTACAGAAATAAATTCGGTGTCATTTGCACTTAAGGCCAAAAAAAAAGTCTCCGGTTTCTGGTATGGAGCTTGCCCAAAAAGTGGTGCGGCGATGCGGCTTTTTTTTTTTTTTACCTGATTTTTTTGCTTCAAATGTCGGCTGATGACTGCAAATGGTGCCCGACTAAACTTTGTGCAAATATATGGGAGTCCAAAGAGGCCACATAAAGCTTATTCTCGACTATAACCCAATCTAAAAACACGTTAGAATTGTGCAGCAGCAGGAATCCAGTCAAACCAGTGAGTTTGGCAGTTTTGAGACATCATCTTTCATTGAAAAAAAAACTTTTTCATTTTGCCGACGCGCATGGCTACGGCGACGCGCGCGCATACCAGAAACCGGAGACTTTTTTGGGGGGGCCTAAACATGATGTATATAACTTGACAAGTCAAAGGTGGGAATTATTCCTCATGGCAGGTCACAAATGCAAAAGCCTACCTAATGGAGACGAATATTATCCCTGCATGTACCTCTAAAAAAAATAAAACTTTCAGTGGAAGAACAATTCCATGAGTGCGAGTATTTTATTCTTGCAAATACGAGAATGAGTACATTCTCATGAGTAAGAGGTCTTAAGTACGAGTACGAGTACTCAAACACTGCCTAAAACCAAAACTGGAAATGGTGTTTAGAGTGAACACGACCCCATAACAAATATGAGCCTCAACTGACCTTGGACTAGTTCCTTGACTTCTACTGATGGATAGATAAGGAGCTTGGCCTGCTGGGATGCTGCAGCCAGGGAGGAACCGTGGTGCGGCGTACTGAAGAACACCACGCCGTGCGTATTATCAGCAATATTCTCCAGTTCAGGTTGTTCGCAGGCATCCAGCAGCATCTGTTTTACCAGTAGTCCTGCGGTTACAAAAAAATTATGAGAAGTTGTTTGCTAATTAGGTTGCACTGCGAAAATGAGGTTAAACGTCCAGCATTCAGTCATGCACTTAAATCATTAAAGAAGTTGTGTAAACCAAATTGCCCCTCTCCCAAACACTCCAAAACTTTAATCCCATGGACATTTGAAAGATTTGTTTAACTCTCTTTTAAGTATATCTTACCTCCCATGGAATGGGACACCCATATAACAGGTCTCTGGCCCACACCTGTCCGATGCAATTTGTTTAGAATCTCTGCCGAACGGTTGGCCAGTGACCGTCTGCCGAAAAATAGGATTAGAACAAAAACAGAACTAAATTTGTACACTTTTTACAGTCTACATGCAGGGTAAATACAGGCATGTATGAATTTCAATAAAAAGGAAACTAGTCCAAAAACATGGGGAAAACAAGTCAGGTGTGTTTACAAACACAAATGCCCCGCAACCGTGACTGTTCCCATGACATAACACCACTCTTTAACATCAACTTACATGTACCTTGGCCACATGGAATGTTCATTGACAGCATTAGTGTCTTCTGTAGGTTTTATATGAATTAATCCCTAATCCCTATGATCTCAGAATAAATACAAGATTTTGATTGTTTTAGCCACTGTGACCTTGACCCTTGACCTTTTGGCCCCAAATGCAAAAGGCTTCTTAGGATTACCAAGGACAATCCACAAACCAAATTTGAAGTTCATATGTAAAGTATTTCTCAAGTTATCGCGCTGACAAAATTTCTATTGTTTCAGCCACTGTGACCTTGACCCTTGACCTTTCGGCCCTAAATGCAATAGGCTTCTTAGGATTACCAAGAACAATACACAAACCAAATTTGAAATTCATATGTAAAGTATTTCTCAAGTTATCGCGCTGACAAAATTTCTTTTGTTTTAGCCACTGTGACCTTGACCCTTGACCTTTCGGCCCCAAATGCAATAGGCTTCTTAGGATTGCCAAGGACAATCCACAAACCAAATTTGAAGTTCATATGTAAAGTATATCTCAAGTTATCACGCTGACAAAATTTCTTTTGTTTTAGCCACTGTGACCTTGACCCTTGACCTTTCGGCCCCAAATGCAAAAGGCTTCTCAGGATTGCCAAGGACAATCCACAAACCAAATTTGAAGTTCATATGTAAAGTATTTCTCAAGTTATCGCGCTGACAAAATTTCTATTGTTTTAGCCACTGTGACCTTGACCCTTGACCTTTCGGCCCCAAATGCAATAGGCCTCTTAGGATTACCAAGAACAATACACAGACCAAATTTGAAGTTCATATGTTAAGTATTTCTCAAGTTATCGTGCTGACAAGATTTGTCCGGACACACACACCCACACACCCACCCACCCACACACACACCCACACACCCACCCACCCACCCACCCACGGAAGGACAAGGCGGAAACAGTATGCCCCTTCGGCTTCGCCGCGGGGCATAAAAATGTGAAAGCAGGCAAAAAAGCCTAAAAACAGGCTAAAAATAAATAAAAATGTGGAAATTTGGGCAAAAAAACAACAGGAATTCCTGTTTAAACAGGAAGATTCTAATGCCTGGAAATCTGAAGGTCTGGGGTTCACGTCCCCAACATAAGTTTATCGGCGCTTCACACTTAGTGCTGTTGAACGCTTCGGGGAAAAAAATTCACAAGCTTTCTCAGGTGTGACTCGAACCCAAGGCCTAGATTACTAGTGCAGATGTCTAAAAAAACACACACACAAGTTTGTGGGGAGTGGCTGCAGCCACTAGCCGGTGGCTTCCATAGGTGCGCGTGTTATTTGTGGCCATAGCCATGCGATTCGGTTTGCCTAAACTTTCCCCTAGTCCACTTACTTGTCACTCTCGAAGGGGCACTTGGCGGACCACTCAGTTATGTGGGTGTCGTAGGAGATGGTCAGTATGCGCATTTGGGAACAGTCCTTGGACAACCAAGTCTAGGGTATTTGAAAAGCAGAAAGTAATTTCTTCATTTGTGTCAGTTATACCTTCCTTGTCTTGAAATAGGGGGTTTATCAAAACAAAGGTAACGCAAAAGTAACGGGTTAATATATAGAAGTTATGAACTTGAACAGTGGCGTACATCTGTGCCGGTGAGTGGGGGGATGGGGGATGACCACAATGCAAAAAATTGCCCGGCCATGGGGGGGGGGGGGGGGGGGGGACTGGGCCTGGACACCACATTACAATAGGGAGCTCTCTTCAGGATATAGATGTATATCAACATGAATACTGGCGCTTACATCAAAACAGCGCATTTTAAAAGCTTTTGTACTTTTCAGTGCTATTGAATACATTTGGGTTGCTGGGATGTTCGAAAAATACCTCAAAATCCGCATTTTGTTTTTCTCATCATGAAAAAAGTGGGGGGAATGATGAAATAGCCCATCCCCCCCCCCCCCCCCCCGGTCTAAAAGTACGTTTTTTTTTATTTTTTTATATATCCCCCATCCCCACTGGGATTTACGCCCCTGAACTTGAACTTTGCCAAAGTGGCTCCATCTTAAAGGGTACTTCATTAGCTTTTCATTGATATCTTATTTGCATCTCTCCAGTCACGGATGACAATTAGAGCACCATTGATTTCAAAATAGAGGCTAATAAATCCTTGTTTCAAAGTTTGCGTGTATGTACGCATACACAATGTGAAACAATTGAATGATCGATAACGGTTACGGATAGCTAAACGTATGCGTACATTTATCCATTTGGATGCAAAACCTCTGTATTAAAGGTAACATCCATCATTTGTAATTTGTGCATTATGTTCTTTTGAAGCAACAAAAGTGTTCAAAATCTAAAGAAGGGTGCTGAACAACTTACCTGATGAAATTTCAGCTCAGTGAATGCTGTATATTCTGAGAAAACAATATTCTAGGATCTCGATTTCAAATCAAAAGTTGCTGAGTCATGTTTTGAATCGGGCCTGAGCCGATTGCAGCTACACGATGTCGCGCACTAAACCGACAAATTATATAAATTGCGCCTGTGTGTGCATCGTGTCAAAGCTTCGCCAAATAAAAATAAAAAACTACTAACGGAAATTTAGATGCATCGTTGGAAAGGCCTTCTTTCATTGATTTCTTCAAAATGACAGCTTGCCAGAATGAATAATTTCACAGGGAGTTTAGTCCCATCACTATCTTAAACCAAGTATGCTTTTCAACAATAATTATGTCAGTTACTTTTTGGATAGCTGCAAATGATGGACTGTACCTTTAAAAGACACTCTCTAAACTGAAGATAAGAATTCATGTCTCAAGTTTACCTTAGGCCAGCAATCTGTCCATTCCTCATCAGCTAGGTTCATCTCTTCCTCCTTGCCCTCCTCCTGCTGTGACTCTTTGGTTGTCTTGCTCACCTTGTCCTGCTGCCTCCACGTCTTGAAGGCTCCGCCCAGGAGGCCGTGCACAAATACCACATCAGCCTCCAATGCTTGCCTGAAGAAAAAAAATTAAAACAAAAATTAAAACAAACACGAAATTGCAAAACTCTTGTACAAAAATGGCACATAGAGATAACTTAGCAACATTTGTCTATATGAGATCAAGAAGGTTACCCAAAAATATCTGAAAATATCTGCAACTTTTCCAGCCAGCCATGGTGAAATGCAAAAAGGTAAGAGCTAGAGCTAATTAAATCAAAGGTATTAGCAACTGCTGAGCCACATTTTAAGCCCATTTCTGGCAAATTCTACTGACATGAAATCAAATTGGCGTAGATACTTTTCTTGATTATCCTTTTTCATACCTTTCCCTTTTTTCCTTGTCTTTTTCTAAGGGTGAGTGTGTTTGTGGGAGGTGGAATGTTTCAGGGGTGTTGACTGCATGTTTGAAATGTTTCGGAAAAGCTTTTTTAAAAGTAGTGGGATCTCCGTACCTCGTTCTGGTTTGGGGGTGCAGTAGAAAGATACCGTCATCAAACTTCTCCGTCACGGCATCGCGATCCAGATTGACCAGGGCCCTGGCAGCGTGGGCAGCCAGAGGGATACAGTCCGACTTCACCCAGGAGGCAAGGACAGTAACCCAGCCTAGAAGAAACCCAAGAAGGTGGTTTAAAAAAGTATAGTTTCTAATAATAACACCCACTCAAAATTCAAAGAAGAAAGTTCAAAACCTAACCTATTGAAGTTTCAGCTCAAGGGATATTACACTCTTCGAGAAAACAGTGAAAACCCATGCACAATACAACCTTTTGATCATGAAACGCAATTTCATCTATATGTAACTCTTGACTTCCAAAATCAGTGAATTGGAAATCACCTACATTTCTTGATTTATTCTAACTGACGGCAAGCCAGATGGAATAATATGAAAGTATGTTTAGTACCAGTAGGATCTTTAATGCAAAGAAGATTTTGATTATAATTTGGTAGGTTACATTTGGGATAAATGCAAATGATCCTATATGCCTTTAAAGACAGGTAATCATGGACCTATATAAAATTAATTTTGGGTCATTCTATAAATTTAGAGTGCCAAAATGTGACATTTTTACTGTGCCTGTTACCTCCAAACTTTGTAATTTACCATTCAAGTATCTTAGAAATGATTTCAAAATAAGTTGTATTTGTTGGGTAGGTTGTTCGCTATTTATAATCACTCTTGGATTGAGAATTATAAAATCATAGATGTCATGAGACAATTTTTTTCTGCAGCAGCTCGAGATCAGCGCAAACTGGTCTCAACCTTCCCAGGTACCCATTTATACTCCTGGGTGGGGAGAGGCAATTGTAGTGAAGTGTCTTGCCCAAGAACACAAGCACCATGTTCCCCGTTAGGGTTCCAACCCACATACCGATGGCACATGAGTCAAACAACGTATAACCACTTGACCACAGCATTTTATGTCACTCTGGGGTTTTTTTCATTTTTGGAGCTCGTTTTTCATTAAAAGATTTATTAAACTGCATATTTAACACCCACCTGCCTGTACAATCTTGGAATGTAGATGCTCATTGAGCGCCATGTTAGCTAGGATGCGAGCGATGTAGCACTGAATCTTGAGACTGCCCTCTGCCGCCTTGGAGTTGCGTAGCTTCATCAGTAGCTGCAGGCCTCCATGATTGGCAATCTCCTCACAATGGCTGGGAACCTTTGAGAATTCATATCAACTTAAGTCAGGGAAAAATTTCTTCACTTCAACTCTTTATTGATGTAATGATGTGAAACATCCAGGCTTTTCAATATGGTTTATTTGATGATTTGTAAACAAAAGCTGTATCCCATGATCTCAGCATCCTTATATAGGGTTCCCAGCACTTTATGAAAACAAAATTTCCCCAAGTTTGCCTTGATATTTCCCTGACAATTTTCCAAATTCCATGAGAAATATTTTCACTTTAACGAGGTTGCTGGGAAGTCAAGAGGTGGCGTAGCGCAGCCAATTGTTATTGTCTGGAGAGGTGTGTCATATTCACGCTGCATAAACACTAACAGCTACCACAGGCAATCAGTCTATGGACACAACTTGGACACGTGGCACAAGATGCACATACGCCAAACTGGCAGAAACCTTTCCCTTTTGGGGTCACTGTTGAATTCCCTGATTGAGTTGAGTTTTCCCTGATTTTGGTGTTTTCCCCAAATTCCCTAAGTTTACCCTGACCAGAATGGAAACTAATTTTCAAGGTTTTCAATGATTTTCCAGAGTGGCTAGGATCCTGGCATACAGTTGGACATTGCCATTTTGGCTCAAAACAGCTAAAATCAATCATAGTAAACACGCAAATAAAATCAAATCAAATCAAAAAAAAAAGGTAACCACCTCTTCCCTCACAGGTACCCATACTACTCCTAGGCAGGGAGAAACAATGAGTGACAAACTGTCTCGCCGCAAGGGAACACGCACCACAACCCCACGCTGGACTCGAACCCACAACCTGCAGAATTACCCACAGACCACAAATTCAATGCTCCAGACCACTAGACCACGGCACTTCCCCTTATTCCCACTGTCACCTCTTGAGGGGGTGGTTTACCTCTGAGTGACTGACGAGAGCCTGCAGGTTGACTGTCTCCCTCGCCTCCTCGGGGATCTTGCTGAGCCCCGTAACAAAGGTCAAGGTGTTGCCGCCGAAACACAGCGCCCCAGTCTAGGGGGAAAGGCATATAAAAATTCACACAATCAATCCCTGGAGCATGTTTGATTTTGCGGCCGACTTTTCTATGACTTTTCCAGGACAAAATAACGGCATTTTCTTGACCAATTCCTACGCTGTTTTGCATCTCAGAGGGCTTTTTACAACACACTGGCCAGTCATCACATTGAAAATAAAGGTCTAGATACAGTGTGCATAACTATCAACAAGATGGCCTCCACCTCCCCTCACAGCCATCCGATCCTCCCACTTTTCCAGGTTAAAGTTAATGTTGCAAAACATGTACAGGGGAACCCCGCTATAACGAACATCACGGGATCCACAGAAATTGTTCGTAATAGCGATCGTTCGGTATAGCGATTTTAAGCTGCCGGTGCTCCGGTATTCATTTTGCAATAAATAGCGCCCTTCAGAACTTCACCCTGCATGCCCTGGTACTTCTAATTACTGAAAGCTGACTTTGAACTCATGCCGACTATTGAATAATGTAACTACACAGATTGTGAGCTTACTACCGGTACCTACAGCAATGCATGGCTTTCCCCTTCTATTCCTTGGGGAAATAATAGCCACTCTTCGGTCTTCTGTTGACATTTTTCAACAGCAATATTCGGTATATTTTGTACACAAAAATCAAGAGCCAAGGACGATGTTCGGTATAGCCGAATGTTTGGTATAGCGGTGTTCGGTATAACGGCGTTCCACTGTACATGTATAAGGCATCATGTCACCATCTTCCTAGCATTTTATGGTACATGGTACTTTTTCTTGATATATCAACTTTCAATGATGTCCTTATAAAATTATCAAAATTCTGTGACTTTTCCATAACTTTCCATGATAGCTTTAAATTCCAGGATTTACCATGAATTTTCCGTGACTGTGGGAACCCTTTGAATGAAGATCAATGGATTAAGGTTCTCGCTTAAACTTGTTCTCAGATTACAATTCAAAAATTACCACACATTCAGCCCTCTTGAATGAGCAGTCACTTCGGGTGGTGTCAACTTGACCCGTCAGTAACTTTGGTACATCTGTACAGATTGTGGACTCGAAATTAAAAGTGAACTGAACTTGTCGAATTCAAACCCAAATTTTACCAGCATCACATCACTGGAAAAACATGGGGACTGTTAATATAAAACATTATTTAAGGAGAATTAAGTAAAAACTGACCTGATCATGGGCTTGGACTGTCTTCCCTTCTGTCATGGCCCTCAGGGTGAAGAACTCCGTACATCGGTCAATCTTGTCTCTCGGTAGAGCACCCAGAAGCTTCTTGAAACCTTCCTCTGTGCTCTCCTAACAAGGAAAATTCATTAAAATGTTGAATTTTTTTCAATTGTTTCTACCACTGATCCTTGCGTTTGTAGAGATTGATAGTAATTCCTTAATTCAAAAATTCTGAACTAGAAATCGTGCTCACTCTCCGGAATTTGGTTCAGAACGTTTGAGTACCCATAAGGCTCAAATTAAGCATACCAAATACGGAGTCGGTAAGGATCGCTTGCAGCTATAATTATAATTTTTGACTTATTTTGTACGCTTTAACTGGGCAGTAAACAAAGTATAAATAAAACTGTAGTTTCCCCATGAATATAATACCAAAATCAACGTGTTCACATCAACATGTAGGTGATTACAAAGACTTTTAACAGAACAGGCATATGGGTAATTCCGGCATTATGTCCGTGACAGAGCTTTTAAGAGCTCAGTGAATAGACCTGAAAATGTATTTTTCAAATCGTATGCATCCATTTTCTAGTAATGGCCAAGGAGATTACAGACTAGGAGTTTTGGATCATTTCTCTGAATCATTAATTAGATTTCATGGTTAACTTGGCTCTGTCACGGATTTTACACTTCCTTTTATAATGCTGGAATTGCTCTTTAACACAACGATGAATTTGAAAATTCAGGATTGTATAGTCCATTTCCAATTAAGAAACAAAAACTTCACAAACCTTGAAGTCATTCAGAGAGGGCGGGGCCAGAAAGAACCTGGTATCCACGTCAGCTGACCTGGCTAGACCAATCAGTGTCCTTTGATCACACGCTTGTGCAATGGCTCTATATTCAGCGTCTGATGAAAACCAAAAAGGAATTTTATTTAACTCATTACAAACGAACTCACCAAATTAAATTAAAAGTCTTATTAGTTGTCAGTTCCGGATTTGGGAGCAATGAACCATTGACCAGAGTTGGAATTGACTCGGTCACAAGTCACAACAAGTCATCACAAAGCAATCACAAGGCAATCACAAGGCAATCACAAGGCAATCACAAGGCAATCACAAGGTAATCATAAGTCAATTACAAGTCAATCACAAGTCAATCACAAGTCAATGACAAAGCAATCACAAGGCAGTCACAAGGTGATCACAAAGCAATCACAAGGTAATCACAAGCACCTACACTATGCCCAAGAAAATAATAACACAATCAACACGTACAATAATTTGAAAAAAGGGAAAGTTTTTAAGAAATGAAAAACTAATGATGGTTACCGAGCCAGTGGTGTTTCTTGGCCAGTTTAGCCACCGCAGCTAGTCTGCGTTGCGGGTTGTCTGACTGGGCCCTCTTGAGTAAACGCCAGGGGTCGTCGCTCGTCCGGTCCAGGGGTAACTTGGAGAGGACTGTTTGGGGGTAGAAAACAACGAAAACCAAGAAATTGGCAGAAGGCCAGATGCCGTACATTGAGGAAACTTTCAACCAATTAACAAGGCAAAGCAAGCCTAGTAAAGTCGGTCTCAAAGAACAAAATTCGGAAAGAGCATTGCAACCTGACGCTACTTCAGCGGTTGTGTACAAAGTCTACAGAGAGTCTATAGAAATGTTCTAAGTATTTCCTGACAAAAGTGGAAAAGTTTCTCAGTCCCAGATTCATGTCTTATCATCATTGTTGCAATGACTGACCTTCAATGAGATGATATATAAAGCAAAAAGCAGCGTCGGGTTGCAACATTCTTTCCCAAATTCTATTCAAACGATTCAGATTGGCTATTCACTGGAAGTTTTTCAGCGCATGATGCCTGTGCAATGTGCAGAACTAGTCCATTAATTGGTATTACAAAAGGTAAACAAAGAAATAGACAGGAGCGGGGTTGGAACCTGCGACCTCCAGAACATTATACAGGGGCTTTACCAACTGAGCTATCCAGCCCTACGTTGGCGGTTCCCCAATATGTCACTATCAATGTTTCAAGAACTTGTTAACAATTTCGTTAGCGTTATAAAAACAAAAAGGACAATTTGAGTCTACTTTAAGAATCCTACCATCTGGGTGTTTGTCTTCAAGGAAGTGCTCCAGGATTGACAACCTCCATTTGACTTTACTCCTCATTTGGGTAACCAGGTCATCTGATGGTAAACAGGTAATGTAATCCAAGTTAATATGTTAGTTAAGGTAAGTTGATAGTTGTTCATTCCAATAAATGTTGGTCTCCGTTGTGGAGCAAGCATTGCAGTATAGTACAACATATGCAGCCAGCATATGTAGTAAAACTAGCCTCCCTCGAATGCCCCATGGAACACAGAGGAAGGCCAGTTTCACTACACCAAGAGATAAAGCAGTCAATATTGGTATAATGTTTGTATATTGTGTACAACGAATTAGCTCACTAGGAATTTAACATAGCTCTATGGGATGTACATTTGCTGAGTGTTTTTCTCCTTTATAGCTTAATGAAAGTGGGTCCTTTTGAATAGTTTAGTTTTTTTTTTAAACTTTCTTATCTATTCTCATGACAAATGGGTGGACACACAGGGTAACGCACCTCCAGGGGGAGTTGGGCTGATATATATGTAGGTCTGTCGCTGGTCTGGTATCGATGCATCCGTCTTGAAGTGGACTGATTTGTCCAGGCTGATCCACTCACGGTATAAAATAAAACCTCCCCTGAAAAAAAAATGAAAAAGGGGAAAAAGGGAAAAACAAAATCATCTCAGTATTCAAAACCTATGAGTTTCTCAATATACATTGTATAATCACAATAGAAAACACAAAAATAATAATTAAAAATCCATCAACAATTATTTCAAAATAAGGTCAGACTGCTGACAGAACAGAAAAACAAATAAACAAACCAATAAAAATCAAGGAATTTTGAGTCTTGAAGTGAAACGTTTCTCTGAAGTTTTGTCCCAATGCTGCCAATATTCTGTACAACCAGAAAGTAAGAGGTAAATTTGGGAGAAATTGGAGAGTTGTGGGGAAAAAAGGGAATGCTTGGGTAATGGGCCTTATTCACGAGTCGGCCATATTGAATTGAAAGCGAGATAAACTCCTCATTTTTGGGCCTTGCCAAACCACAAAAAGTTAATTACACATTATACCAGTCTGCTCTAATGAATATTTTTTGATTTGTGATTAAACATACCTTAATGTATTAAGCAACAACAAAAATGAAAGGCTAGAATGTTTAAGGTCAGACTGGCTGACAGAACAGAAAAACAAACAAACAAACAAACAAACCAATAAAAATCAAGGAATTAGGATTCTTGAAGTGAGATTTTCTCTGACCATCCCATTCAACAGTTAACAATTAATAGTGTCCATTCAGGGAACCAGACCAACATGGCTTTCTTGTGAAATAAAGTCCATTGACCCCGCATGCAGAATATCAGGCCAAAAAGTTTCAATGAAAAAAAACCCAGATTTTTTTGGTAACTTTTTTCTATGCATGTAGGTATGGCCACGGCACAGAGTTTAGTCCAGTGACTGGTCATAGGGGGTTCTCGAAACAGTTGCTTCGGCTTCGGTTCAGCTTCGTCTTCAGTTTGGCTTCTTCTTCGGCTTTGCCTCCTACCTCTGAAACACTGAGAGGCAAACTAAATGAAAATATTCCAACTTTTGGCTTCATATCAACCTAGTGAATGTTCCTGAAGCATAACAGGCACCAAGAGTCCCCAAAGCTGGAGTCCCCAAAGTTGGGGCCTAAAATGTCATTAAATCGAAGACAAAGCCAAAGCCAGAAGTGATAGACTGGGGCTAACCCTATCCCAGCAGTTGCTACTACAGCAGCCAGTCGTAGCCTCCTCTTCTTAATGCTCCATCCGCTCACGGCTGCCTGTGTTGTTACTCTGCTGCTCAGGCTTCGTCCAAAGATGAGGTTGAACATCCAGGTGATGAACCGTCAATCAACTGCTTGAAAAAATTAAAACAAAAGAGGACTTAAAGAGAATATTCAACAGTTGCAAAAATCAAAAAAAAAAAACTACCACATTATCTTGAAATAACTTACTGGACTGTTAATGAATGACAGTCCGAAGCATTCCGTCAAATCGTAGCACCTGGTGTACTGAAATTTTCAAGAAAAGTGGTATTTGTATCAATTTCCAACGCTGGTCGGCTGACCAGCGTTGGAAGAGCTATGCACAAGTCAATTTTTCCTGAAATCAAAATAGCAGCCTCAAACAAGGCGTGTGCGACGAGGATGTTTCCCAAATTGAACTTCGGTGAAATTTCTCTTTTCTCCCCAAAGGTATGTGAACATAACTTGCAGACTTATCACTGCCCTTGAGTCTATGACAATGATGAGTGTGTTGTGTGGCTGAACCTTTTTCAAGAAAATTTTGTAGGCCAGCAAATCAAATCTTAGAGTAGTGACTGAAAGGGTAATCCTTACCTTTAGAAGGTTAAAAGACTCACCAAAACAGCTGACTAAATGACACTCAAAATTGACCTTCCGATATTTCTTGACACATTTTGTGGAAAGGGTGCAGGGCAAGACAAGGTTTAGACAATAATTTAGATAAACGGATAAGATTAAGCGGTGGGCTTCTCCAAAAAAGCAAGCTTGTCAAGTGGAGAAGTCCATTATGTGTAGAAAATCTGGGGTGGGATATTAGAGGTGAAAATCACCTGAAAATGGACAATTTTTGAGAGGAGCATGTCAGCTGGAGTTACCATGGTTACTCAAGTTAAGTTTTGGGTAATCCTTACTTTGAGGACACCTCTATTTTTTACGAGTTCTGTTCAAAACTGACTTTTGCAGATGACTGTCCAGTACCAAAGTGACTTTTGCAGGCCAAAGAAGTCTTTTTTTCTTCAGACAAACTCATGTTAGAATTTTGAAAGCACTTTCAAAGAAAATGTGACTTTCCTACATTTTTTTGCAGTTCGCCATCTTGCTTTTTAATTTTTTAAATATATTTTCTGTTTGTCATCGTCGTCTTTAACCCCTCATAAATCAAAGCCCTGCCCTCTTTCTACAAAATTAAACCTGCTGATATTCAAGAGGTGTCATTGCCAAATGTTCAAAATCATAATGTCACTTTTGATTGTCATTTAGTCAGCTGTTTTGGTGAGCATTTTAACCTTGTATAGGAAAGGGGTCCTAAAGGTAAGGATTACCAAGTTTTGAACAGAAACTCGTATTAAAAATAGAGGTGTCCTAAACTAAAAATTAGGCCCTACCAGTGAAAGAATATCAACGAATCAAACATACGTATTTACGAAACTTGAACCCTAGTGTGTCATTCGTTCAGTGATTTCCTCCACGTGCTCTTTTCACATCACCGTAGCTTAAGTGTTGGAAATCAGTCTGCAGTGCCACTTTTCGTTGTTTACAGAGTTACCATTCCATGGGCGCCGCCATTTTTATTGAAGCAGGACCATATTTGACACTAGGGGGCGCTCTTCTGCCACTGTAAGCCTTAGTCTTGCCGCCGACTAACATTTTTTCAAGTTCTTTCTCAATAAGACCGGAATATCAGACCCTCTTAATTTTTGTGATTCGTCAGCACGAGAAAAGTACCAGCCTTACTGAAGTCAACCTTATAATTGAACAAAACTGACAACACACTCGACGATGTCCGGATGATATTCTCAAGAAATATACCTACAATCCTGGCAAAATCTCGCTGGGCCCCCAACCCCCTGACCCCGCCCGTTCTATGCTGTCTCTCATTGCGCGGTGTGTGGTCCATCAGCTGGAGGGAACAACATTGACCGAAGGAGCGGGGGAGCAGGGAAGTGGGTGACAGTGGCAGGCTCAGGAAGTGTCTCAACAATTTTGGCCGGGATTGTAGCCCGGGCAAAATTGGGCTTAATAGAATTAACTGTCATTGACATGCAGGCGCGGATCCAGAGAGTTTTTTTTTGGGGGGGGGGGGGAGTCGAACCCCTCCCCTGCTCCTACAAAGCAAAGTAAAGCTAATCTGAAGCGATTATTATGCGTCTGACGGGCCTGAATCTGACGAGTCTGAGCCCCCCCCCCCCCCCCGGCAGAAGTTCCTATAGATCCGTCTGTGACGTTAAGTTGGTAAATATAATTATGAATTGTGATATCGACTTGTTGATTTTTCATTGTTGATCACCGTGGAATGACCGCGCCTGTGGTCAAAAGACCACCAGAGCGGGAGCTTGACCGATGGAGGGAGGGGGGGGGGGGCAGCTAGGCAGCGTGATATTCAGCTGATGGCTCGTCTGTTTATCAGTGGCATTTTGACATCTTGCACTACTGCACTACTGATGCACATCATGAACAACGCCCTACGTTTTATTTTATTTTTATAATTTTTTTTTTTATAGAATTCAGGATGAACACGTACTGCTCACATTATTTTTCAGGAAAATAATGATTTATTACAGGCTAATGAAAGACTGTTGGAAACAGCGAACGGAACAGAGGCCTGATTAACAGTGTTAACAAACAAATCTGTAAAAAAAAAAATCCTTTTCTAAAGACGTCCATATAATGTTGAAATAGTAGTGTCGGAGTTGAGAATCTGTATCTGTCCAAATACCGTAGAAGTTAGGTGCAGATACAGACGGGGTTGAAACACCCCCTGCCCCGGCGTTGAAAAACGAAATGTACAATTATTTTAATACCGACATGGTCCGCTTATCCGCAACAATCGGATATGAACAGCTGACGGACCTGGACATCCCCCCCCCCCCCACAAAAATTCCTGGTCCGCCCCTGAACGCACATATGATGCCTTTTCAAAAAAGCCTACATAATCACGGTGTTCAATGTTGCGTAATGATGATTATTGTTACACAATTCACACGCAGAATTCTAAGGAAGCCGAATGGCCTAGTGGTTAGATTCGTCGTCTTCGAATCGCGGAGCCCGGGTTCGAATCCCGTCGGTGTCTTTTTGCTTTTCAACGCACGCATTCAGTCATTATAAGATGTTTATTTTCCCATCGTAAATCACCAACGGTACCTTAGCTTAATCGGTAAGCACTGCGGCTGGTAATGTCCGTGAGTTCCAGGTTGGCGCCTTCGTACAGGTTCAGGGCATGTGGTCCACTCGGAGGATCAGGGCTTAGGGTGCCGCCCTGTTACTCCCTTAGCTCTTTGCTTTTACATGGTGCCTGGCCCTCCGGGGTTATATGGATGGACAGGGAAGGAAGTGTGTATTGGCCGGGAACGCCGAGATCCCGGAAGAGCCCTAAGGGGTTGGCTGGGGCATTGTTATGGCTCAGACCGACCCCTGAATGCTTGGCTAGCACATAACTTTTTGAATTTTTTTTAGCCTCTGTTTATTCTTTTACTTTGGTTTCTCAAAAATAATTCGCAAAAATAGGAAAAACGAACCCCCCCAAAAAATTTGAGACCTAGCCCAGGACTCCCTGGGCATCGAGTTCTGTGGGCGACCCGCTTCGGCCCGACGCGGAGCACTGGCGCGGATAATAGCACTCTGCGGCGCTTCCAAAACCCCGGCGTGGGTCACTCCCGCCTTACACGTACCCCGCAAGACAGCACGGCTGGCCCCACTGGAGCGGGGGCCGGTGTCACGGTCTCACTTCTCCGGCGTGCTAGCTTCTCCAAAAGGGAAATTTCGCTTCAACACGCATGCACAAAATTGCGCAGTAGTGTACATTTTCGTCACTGTATTAGTGTGCCGAGTTCTTCGGGGCTGTACTTGTGTACGTTAGATCTTAAGATATTTGTATGCATAGAATTTTCGTGGCGCGCACTATTAACTCCCAATATTAAAGACTTGAAATGCACATGTAATTTAGTCCGTGGTTGCAAAAATAAGGACAAAATGGACCACGAACGAGCACGGACCAAGGATCGAGTTCGTTCTTAATTATTCCTCCATGAACACACACTCATGCATGACGCTGGGAACACAAATCAGAATGCTTGCAAGACCATGGAATGACTTGACCCACAGGAAGTGTTACATAACACATTCTTGGGTATCCCTCACTGTACGTGTTATTCATTGGTAGACTTCAGAAAACAGCCCGAGGAAAAGGAAGCACAGCGGACACATGAGCATGAATCGTGCCAAACGTGCACTGTAATGTGCTCAATTATCCGCCAAATCAACCCGGAGAAGCTAGCACGCCGGAGAAGTGAGACCGTGACACCGGCCGGGGACAACCAAACCTCGGCCCCTTGGACGGCCGGGTTTTTCTCTCTCTGATCGATAATGATCCTTCCGGAGGTTCACCTACGGAAACCTTACGACAGTTTTACTTCCTCCGAATGTTTAACGCGTACGGACGAATAATTACGAACGCCTTGACCAATGCTAGAGGAATTTTCGCAGGGGGGTAGAGGGGGGGGGGTCCCCAGCAAAACAATTTTGAATGTATCACCAAATTCACATCACCAAGGCCAACTCGTGGGACTGAAAACAAGAAATAAAAAAAATAAAATAAAACTAGAAATGTGTTTGTGGACAAACACAAGCTGTTTCGGATATTTGAAATACTCTGTGCACGTGATGAACACTGATGAAGTCACTTCGAATGTCAAAAGTCAATCAGACAAACAGTGCCAAAGTACATGGTTTGCAGAAAAACGAGTACATAAAACCTATGGGGAAAATGCGTCTTTAATGTGAAGTAACCTTACACCTGATGATGTCACGATCACGAATTTCTTTTAGGACCATCTGTGGATGGTAGTCTAAGTGTGTACGAAGTCTAACGTTGATCGGATTTACGAAAGTGCCAAAGTAGAATGTTTTAAAACGTGTACAAACCCTATGGGAAAAAATGCATCTTTAATGTGACGTAACCCAACACCTGATGACGTCTTGATCACAAATTTCTTCTAGGACCATCTGTGGGTGATGGTCTAAATGTGTGCCAGGTCTAAAGTACATAGAATTAACGAAAGTGCCTAAGTGGAGTGTTTTAAAAGTGTACAAACCCTATGGGAAAAATACATCTTTGATGTGACGTAACCTGACACCTAATGACGTCACGATCACGAATTTCTTCCAGGACCATCTGTGGGTGATGGTCTAAGCATGTATCAAGTCGGAGGTCGATCGGATTTACGTAGAGGCCAAAGTGGAGTGTTTTAAAACGTGTACAAAACATATGGGGAAAAATGCATCTTTAATGTGCCGTAACCCAACACCTGATGACGTCACGGTCACAAATTTCTTCTAGGACCATCTGTGGGAGGTGGTCTAAGTATGTATCAAGTCTGAGGTCGATCGGATTTTGAAAAGTGGCAAAGTGGACTGGTGGAAGAAACGTGTGTTAAACCTATGGAGAAAAAGTCTGAAAAAGGAGAAGAAAAAAAAAAAAAAAAAAAAAAAATCTTAACGAAAACAAGAGCTGTTTCGGTGTGTACACCGAAACAGCTAAAAATTAACAACCTCTTTTGTTTGAGGGGGGGGGGGAGGGGGGGGCTCAAGCCCCCCCCCCCCCGATGCCCTCCCACTGGGTGCGCCACTGCGAGCCAGGCGGGGACGCGCGAAGCGTGATATTCAGCTGATGGCTCGTCTGTTTATCAGTGGCATTTTGACATTTTGCAAAACTTCCGATGATGAATATAAACGACCCGCCAAAAGCGTGGATCACAACAGGCGACAGGGGCGGATCGATGAATTTTCGCAGGGGGGGGGGGGGTCCCCAGCAAAACAATTTTGAATGTAGACCGTTTTTTTCCCCGGACACTTGGCCTCCTTAAACTATAAGGGAGGGGTGGGGGGGGGGCTTGTACCATATTTTTAATGGGGGCGCTGTTCAAGTCCGACGATTATTAACAATATACATGTATCACAGAATAATGTTCATACCACCAAAACAAGCTGGTTATGACGTGTTTTGTGCAAGGCGGACATTATTACTTCGATACAAAATTGGAGTGTCGGAGCAAAGGGGGGGGGGTCGCATTGTTTTCATGAATTTCTATGAAATGTTTTTTTTTGACAGAGCCGGGTTGGGGGGTGGGGGGGGGGTTGACCCCCTCTCTAGATCCGCGCCTTGACTGGTAATTTGTTGTTTTTCCTTTGCTTATTCTTTAGCGCCTAAATACTCACCTCAGGGCAGTGGCATAAAGGGGGTGTGTGTTGCAGGGTGGTAAATTGCAACCGGCTTCAGCTATTAAGAGCAAGCCAGCAGTGGCGCAACCAGGATTGCGGGTTTTTTTTGGGGGGGGGCTCAAACAAATTTTTTTAAAACAAATTTGTTAAAAGTTTAATTTTTTTTCAAACGATTATGCTCAAAATTTTTGGCTGCAAGAAATTTTTTTTTTGGGGGGGGGGGGGAGCGGCCTATTTTGACGTTGGTGGCGCCAAACTGGGTGCCCCACTGCGAGCCAGGCGGGGACGCGCGAAGCGTGATATTCAGCTGATGGCTCGTCTGTTTATCAGTGGCATTTCGACATTTTGCAAAACTTCCGATGATGAATATCAACGA